ACGGATTAATGCTATTAATTTGTGCAATTTGTACTGTTTTTAATTTTTTCTTACTCTCTTACACGCGTTTGAACTCGTCAAAAATAGCCTCAATATGTGTTTATAGCACATGACCTTCTTGTTCAAGGTACTCAATAACTTTACGTATATAAAAATTTTTTTTTGACTACTGTTAGACTTAATTTGTGAACATTTCTCTCTGTGCTATTACTGTTTTTGTAAAGTAAGATCTCAAATGAGTGTTCTAGTATAAGGGTAAAGATTTGGATCATGCCACAGACGTAACAGACATCGTTGGCAACGTCTCTCCTTCATTACAGATCGTGACAGAAACAACCACAGAAACGTCACAAACTGCAAAAGACGTTGTTGATGTATAATCACAGGTTGTATATCAATCATGTCTCGTTAATCTATGAACTACTTTCTTATTTCATTTTTTGAGAATTAAGTAAGAGGATAATGTAAAAATGTGTCTGGAAACAGATGGAACAAAACAATCATTCTGAGATTGTCAACAACAGCTGCATCGTGCTTCACATTTTCATCCCGCAGAGATTGCGCTAATAGCTTTTTCCCTTGAATACACTCATTTTGATTCTCTATATTACATTAAAAAGAATTTTTAATTTAACGATGTGCAAGATCTTATTACCAAGGCATTGATGAAAGAATAACAGATAAATTAGTTTTATTTGACTTTAAGTTCCTGTTACAATTTTAATTATTAAAATGGAAAAATTACAAAAAAAACACAAAGGCATGTTTTCCTCATGAAAATATGGAAAACAAAAGTCATCTATAATTTGATAAATTTATAAAGCATTAACTGATACATTTCTCATCCCAAAACAGCATGAAACATTGTCTTAGCAGATTCAATAATTGTTTTACTTTCAATTAAACATAACTCACTACCACATGTATTATGAATACTAATTGGTTTAGACAATTCTAAATGAAAATATGAAAATTTTTTAATACGATAAATAAAATAAAAACTTGCCAAGTGTTTTTACTAAAATTTGATAAACAATAGAAATAGCTTTTTCACAAGCACACTAAAATATTTTAGGATTAACCATATTAAACATCGAAATCATAATATTAACTTACTATTAAATTATTTTCTTTATGAAACCATGCAAGAATTAAAGCTGAAAATGAATCACCTGTACCTGTAAAGGAATTTTCTAAACGTGGAAAGTCAATTCGAAATGTTTGATATTGATTATCTTAAATCAATTCAATAGAAAAATTATTTTCTAACAAAAAACAAATAATCAAATTGATAATTAATTTTACCTGCAAGTTTTGAACTAGCTCTCAATTGTAACATATTTTTATTACCACCTATTTTATCTGCTGATATACTTGAAATAATAATATGTGATGGACCCATGTTATGTAAAGATCGTAGTGATTGCCAAATAATATCATCTTGGGTATCATTATGAATATCATTCATTTGTTTTTCAACTAATAGTCTAAATTAAAAACTTATTTTTAAATGATATAACGTGTTGGACATGCTAAATTAAAGTATTCTTTGCTTGATATATGGCTAGATAGAGCGTGACAAACTGATCAAGAATATATTCGTTTTCAATTTTTTTCAGATGAACTAATTTTTCTGAAAAACAGATCAATTCTTTTTATTGCATTTAAATAACAAAATTGTTTGTTTGAGATCTAGCGCAAAAAAAAAACTGAATACTGTAAAGCCTCTACTAGTAAATACTTTCTTACTCTGAACAGTGAAGGCGTTTTTGCGATCCCTTTTGCTATAGTAATCTCTCTGATGTGGACATGTTTTTTTCAACTTACTTCTCTATTTCTGTCAGCTGTTGCGTATGTACTATAAGTACGTATATTTTGTATGTGATTCAACTGCTATATGTATAAAATAAGGAATGACATCATGAGACGAGCTTACTTTTCAAGAAAAGAAATTAACTAAAAACTTTATATTACTCAAATCTATTTCAATTATTTAAATGATTGTGGAACAAATCAGAATCAAAGCGTTAGACTATAAGTAGAAAGCTTCAATGCACAAACATTGGACGCTCAAGTGTACGAATAGTTTGTAAAGCAAGATACAAAAAGAAATAGTTCAAAAGCAAAACGACAAGATTAGAAAGTTTTTTTAACAATTAAATTGTGGGTTGCGCTTGAAAAATCTTTTCATTCAAATGAAAATAGATGAACTAGAGAACAGATATTGACAATTTTTTCTTTAAGAAACCAGTCTATAAACATGAAAACGCTCATATTCTTGATCAGCCTGGCATGTTCTATCTAATCATATATAAGGTAAGACAAAAAATAATTCTCCTTTTATTCTGCATTTCCGACACTTTTCAAAAATAATAAAATTTACTCGATTTCAAAGTCATTCGGTGTAATTATATCAGCTAATGGAAGAATTTCATTTTTATATACGTCAATACAAGATCGATCGACATACTATGTAATACAAAAAATAAAAATAGCAAATACATTGAAGAATAAAATGATTACCTACAAGTTTATTATTATCACCAATTACAGGATCACAAACTAAAAGTTTATTTAAAAAATCGATTGAAAACATGCTACATATATTTTCTTAAATCATTTCATATTTACCGTATTTTACATGAGGAAATTTAGATTTAATAAGTCGTATATGTTCAGCAACGACATGCAATAATTCACCAGAACCCATATAACCTATTAGAAGAGTTTATTTTCAAATGTTAAAACACAAGAATTACAAACCAGTAAGAATATATTCATATTCTAAAAGTTCATTAGCTAATAAACCTTGAAAAATATTTTGAAGTTCATCTACACTTAATCGACTACCTTTTACTGTTTTATATCCTAATTATTAATTAGAATTCATTGATAAAAAAAAAAATTTTTTTAAATAAAAATACAAACCAGTATGATTAGAAAAATGAACAGAGTTGATAAGGTCCACTTCAAAACCATAGAGCTAAAAAATTTGATTATTACTATTCAAACTAGATTTTTGATTTTAATACAAGAAAAATACCTGTAAAATAAAAGCAGCACATTTATTACCGACAAAACCATGAACAACATGACTTTGAATTGATAATACTCGGGGTATTCGATGAAATTTATTTGACATATTAAAAAAAAGATGACGTAAAACTGAAGAATTCGTTAGTGTAAAACAAACTTCAACATGTGCTTTCTCAGCCATATAATATAATATGGATTTAAAAACAGTAGTCAAGAGGTCGCACTCAATCGCACTAAATGTTCTTCAGTGAAGCATTTGATAATATTATTTGTATGATGTACAATGAAAAATAACTGAATATTTCAGATTCTGATGATTAAGTTCAAAATAAATTTCGTTTTTTTCTATGACTTAGTTCTTCTCAGTTGCTACGTTCGAGAATGATGATCCTCTATGATAGTAAGATTCGAAATAGCTTCAGAACTGTGAATACGATTATTTGGTACAACGACTGAATAAAGAACATAGGTTATTATTTCTAGTTGCCAGGCAGATTTTTTTTTCATCTTGGAAATATTATTACTCCTGTGTACGCATATACATAGGATGTCTCCCCAGATCATGAGACCAGATTGTAAGAGCTTTTTAGATTAGATTAAATCATAATATATGACTCTTCAAAATTTTTACCGTCATATAAGATTCTCTATAAACTTAATGTAATATCTTACAAGACAGCAAGATTTCTCAAGAATCTTATAATATGACTTATGGAGAAACATTTCTAAGTCTTAAATCACTTTTGAGTTCCAACTTGAATTACAGTTTATTGCTACAGAGATACAGTATTTTTACGGTATTTTTTAGTCGAATGTCGCCGTATTTCTCTCAAGAAAATCAAGAAAACCGAGTTTCGAATTTCAACTTGAAGCTTTGCACAAAGACCAGTGACAGACCTTAATAAGAGAATAGCTTATTGTGAAAGTAAAATGATGAGAGAGAACTAAATTCTACTCTTGAGACTTTAAAAGAGAATATAAATCATATAACAAAGTCGTATGAACTTACTCGTTTCCTGTTTGGAATGTACCATACATCATTAGTGAAATATCTTATAAAATTATTTATGGAACAACAGACGCCAATTAAACTATAATAGATTGTTCTTACATAGTTTTAGGCATTACTTAAATCAAATCATGAGTTATTATTGTCAAAAACTAACGCTTAAACAACACTGCATACCTTATTTAGGGTTGGTGACAAACTCCGAAAGAGGGTGTGGGTATGAGTTTGAGACGTGGGTGAATGGATGAGTTTATTCCCTTCACCTCTCCACTAACACTCGGTCTTTATTTTTCACAGCCAATATTAGTATCGGTCTAAATAGGCTAGCTTAAACTGAACTACTCAGTCTATCGATCGATCTGAAATCCATACCTACACTGTACTGATGTGTTGTCATACGACTTCATCTGTGGATAGTGATATTTGGCATAATAAACTTTTAACAAAGTTACATTACACATTCTGTGAAATACTAACAACAAAAACAAAGTTAATAAGACATACCTGTAACCACTGGTCTACTGACAAGCCAATTCATCTAAAATCCAAACCGGTACCACACCAGTTGATAATTGGCACCAAATCCATTTCTTGTCATGGCACATATACCATGCTGAATGTACATAGAAAATGTATTAACATGGCTTATGTTGATTCTATATATTTTCCATATTGGAAATAAATGAAAAAATCTGTTCAATATAACTATATTGTGTTTCAAGTAAAAAAAACTGTAATACTTCGACTTATACTATGATAAGAATTTCAATGATCATTTATTTTAGTATGAAACAAAGCAAAGAAAAAAAACCTAACATAGAAACGTCAATAATAGACAATTTTTTTTTTTGTATAATGTATCAAAAAACTTTTAGAGATAAACACAAATGACAATGAAAACATACAAATTCTTACTATTGTTCAATTAAGCCTTAATATATTATAATTTCTATTTCTAACAATATTTTAATAATGTCTTAAGTGTACATGCTTGAAGGCAACAATCACCAATTAATGTATTATTAAATTCTAAAACAAAACAAAACATCATCATTTTTTTTTTTATTTTAAAAAATAAATTCAACATACGTGCATAATCTTTAATTAAAAGTGTACGTGTAAATGGATCATCATCAATAAGCATATGTCGTTTTTCATGTGATGATGATGATGATATTGATGATTTTTGTTGTTTCATTAATATTTGTTTAACTCGATGACATATTGTATCAAGCATTTGAACTAAAGCTGGACCACATATTTTAATACTAGCTGGTTTACGTGTTGATGTTGTATTTTGTATTGGATTAGTTATATTGTTTCCATTTGTAAATAATATAATCAATATTAAAAGAATAATCAACGATGATCGAAACATTTTGATGATGATCAATGAAATGAGTAATATTACTAGTGAACATTTTGAGTCAAGTTCACTTTCACTATTGTTAATCTCATCATCGATAGTAAACATAGATTTCACACATATCGCGTGCATTAGAATAATACTCGTTTCACTTACTTCCATGAAAATTATAAAATAATCAAACAAATTCTTTTCTCTTTCTTTCTTTTCCTTATTCGTTATTTTATCAAATGAAAATTATATAGAAAGGATATGTGCAAGGAAAGGATAAACAAACAGATTTTAATGTATGCATAGAGATTTAAAACTAATTAGTTTTTTTTTCTTTCATTCATTCATATATTAGAATTTTCTTTTTTTTTATTTGAGAAATGAACTATGCTAGTGATAAACTATCTTTCTAAACTAATTATGTCTTAAGCAAGATAGTTTAAGTAATACATTCTTGAAAATTAACTTTGATTGTTTTTCATTAGTGATGTGAACTTCGTTTTAGATCATTTTTTGTGAGAAGAACAAAAGTAATTAACTTTTTATTATAGATTTGTACTATCTTTTAGATATTTGAAGAACAATAAAGTCACAAGTGCTTTAGTAACAGATGTCTATGGATGAATCGAATGTCAAATTAACATGTTCATTTAAACATGTTAACAATATCATAATTTTCATAAGAATGACAAAAGTAGCACATGTATATAATTTATATCGAGAATAAGATAGAAGTGTTACTCTTGAAAATCAAAAAGAAAAAAGAAAAAGGAATCTGATATCAGCAGTTAAGTATACTTTCAAGAACGTCAATCGTAAAAAAAAAGTGACATATACTATTACAATTGAATTATAAGAAGAAACTCATATTTGATATTCGTCTGTACCATTATTTGTACCAAAAGATGAGATTTATCTTGAGAATATTCCATCAATAAATAACAAATAATACACTACGCCGAAGCTTATATCCATTTTTTGGAAATACTATAGTCAATGGATATTCTTTAAAATATAACTTAGAAAATACATAAATTTTATTTTTCTTCAGCACTAATCAACTTGAAAAATATGCATGGAACGGATGCTTATACATACACAAGACAATATAGATAAACAAAAAAAAAACAAAAGCAAAAATAATCAATCAATGAAGAAAACGTGAAAACAAAAATACAGTTGTTGTTTTTTTTTTAGTATGTTTTTCTGTATAGTAATAAGAAATCATTGAATTTTCTACAAGAATATGGTTGATGTTTCATTTGGAAGAGATCAATATAACAACACATAAACAACTTTCATTCTTAATCTAAATACACAGTATTTATTTAATTTCAAAGTCTCAGCGATTACAAAGAAAAGTAAAATGTGTGCATATATGTATATATATAATCAACTTGTATTCATTGACGTATTTGTGGATATTGAATCTGATGTAACATAATTATTAGTTGTTGTTAAAAATGTGTTATGTGTATTTGCTTGTTGTAATAAATCAGCTAATTTATTTTTATCAATTGAAGTTGAACCAAGTAATGCTTGTGCTACTTCTGGTAAAATATGTATTGTTATCATTGGTACTGTTCCCGATGATGATGGATCAGTTGTTGTTGTAAGACGTGTTAATGATGTATTTGTAAATAAATCTTGTGCATTTGTTAAATTAATTGTAACACGTTTACTATTATTTGAATCTGTTGTTGGAATTATTTTAACATCTGTTTTTGATAAATTAAGATTATTTGAAGTTGTTTGTGTCATTGATATATGTGAATTTTTTAAACATGCATGACGATGTAATAAAATTTCTAATTGATGTTTACGTTCAGTTAAATTTTGAACTGAACGTTGTAGATTTTGTTCTTGTTCAACTAATATTTGTTCAGTCTATTGAAGAAAAAAGAAATTATTTGAAGAGTTCTTTGTTTTTTAGTATTACTTTTTCTAAACGTTCACGAAGTTCATTTCGCTTTTTACGACATTTAGCTGCTGCTTGTTTATTTCTATCACGGCGTTGCTTACGTTTTAAATCTTCTTCAGGTGGAAGCTAAATGTAAAAAGATAAACCGTAACAAATAATGAATAAAAGACTTGAGCAATGTTTAGTTTATTCTTACGACTTCATCTTTACTTTTTCGACCATTAGCAAGTGTTGGTGCAATATGTTTTCTTGGTTTAACTAAAATTGGACCATATTGAATTGGTTCAGTAGGCTGATTTTTTTTATTTTTAGATGTTGATAGTGGTTTATTTGTTTGTTCTCGTCGATTTTTTGTTGTTGAATTTGAATCATTTGATATTTGATTATATTCATCTGTTGACATTGATATATTATCATCATCATCGTCATTAGTACTTTCTAAGATATTTTCTTGTTTTCTAGGTCGTAATTTAACTTGATGAGCTAATGCTGTTGCTGTTGGAACACCATGAGATGTTGTAAAATCAGCAAGTGATAATACTGGTAATAACGATGATGATGATGATGATGGTGATTGATTTGATACACTAATTACATTCTTAAAAAGTAAATAGAGAAATAAATAAGTTATAAAAAGTATTTTAGAATTTATTTTTACCAATGGTTTAACTGTTGTTGTTCCTCTTTGTCGTCCAGTAGCCATTGATACAAGTGTATTAGCTACTTCAGTAGCAGTATTTTCAGGATTATTTGTTATATATACTGTTGCTGATCCAGGTGAATCTTGTGTTTGAACACTTTTTTCAGCTGTTGGTTGTTGATTTGACATTGTAAAAAGTGTTGGTGTAAATGTTTGTATCTTTGATCTATAATAATAATAAAAGAAAACACAATAAAACTTCTGAAGCGGGAAGGGAGAGATTGCTTTTCTTTTTTTATTGTTTTTGAGAAAGTGCCAGATGCTTTCTTTTGATAGAAACAGAAGAAAACAAATCACTAATCAACTGAAAAAAAGAAAATAAAAAAATTTTCTTTTTTGTTTTTGTACTTAAAGAACGAGAGAATTTCCCATTCCACGAGGTATACGTGTTAGTCAGATTATGTACCGTTGTTGAATCAGCAACTTATCACGAGAACGCAAGTAACTCTAATAAAAACATGATCGATAGTGTCATAGTTTCATACAAGCATATACACTCCTAACTACATATACTCATACGTATATTCATTCATCATTTTATCGATCGCTTTCTCCTAATGTACGTCGGATTGTTCCTTTACTTTGTTGCCGACACGACGACAAGCAAAAGAAAAAAAGGTTTTTGAAGGTCGATGACACATTATTTTTTTTTCTTCCTTTTTCTTCCTTTTTCTATACACTGTTGACGATGATTAACAGCATATACACACGAGCAAAAAGCAACAACATTGGACTGTTATTGCTGCTGTTGTCGTCATGTTTATTGCATGATTCATGTTAATAAAAACGAGAAGAAAAAACAGAAAGAAATACCTCGTCCAAATACAAATCAATTTTAAGCAGCGAGAGGATAGTAACATAGTAAAAAAACATACTATCAAGATTAATATTTTTCTATTTTGCGTTCGCACACATGCATTTGTGTATGCAGTTAGAGAATCAATGTCGTTTGACATTTTCTATCTTTTTTTCTCAGCTCAATAATCGGATGATTGTTAAAAACGATGAAACATACCTATCTTGTATGACATTTAAGATCATATTTTTATGGTCCATATAATTTGTCTATTTATTTATCATTTATGATAATCTGAAAAATAACCATGATAACAATTAATTTTACGTAAAATAAAACGAAAACGTAATAAATTTAAGTTTTATTTAAACAAATTGATGATGAGCAATTTTCACATGTAGTAGAAGAATTTTTATTTTCATACGCTACATCAATTTTTCTTCGTGTTTGTTTTATTGGACGATGTTCAAGATTATTCGGTGTCCATGGTCCAAGACTATTTTGAGAATAGAAATCCATTGGATAACGACTTTGCCATTCAATCTGACGAAGAGCTACCATGGCCTAGAAAATCAAAACATGAGAGAGAAAGAAATATGAATCAATTTCATAGTTATTTTGTGTGACTTTTTTTCTATCATACCTCATATGGTGTTAGTATTGGTGTTTGAAAACCAGCACCCCAATCAATAGATAAACGTGGACATGATGTTTGAATCCAACTAAAATAAATTGAAATTATAATAGAAAGAAAATTCATCATAGAATTAAAAACACTAGAAATTTACACATCAACATTTTTAAATAATTTTAATTTGTCAGGCATTAATTCAGGCATAACAACTTGAATAAATTTTTTTCCATTTGCTTTTAAACGTTGTTTAATTGTCTTAACAAAACCAACAATATATAATTTCCTTTTAATATAAAATAGAATTTTACTTGTAAAACTTTTGGTGAACCTTGTCGTCCGAGTGAACCTAAAACTAAACCCCAAACTTGACCATTTGCAGCCTTATTAATCTCATTTTGACGTATAGTATGCATTGATTGTGTATCATAATATTCTCGAGTAAATTCTTTTGAATATGGATCATATCTATACAAGGAAAAAAAAGCGGTTAGCCCAGTTCCTCCAGGATTAAAATGTAAAACACGATGTACCTGATGTTATTAATTATTGTTATAGAAAAACTGTTGTTTATTCTATCTATTGTAGGACACATTTCTTCACCATCTTTTTACTGAATCCTCCAGAAATGTATTAAGAAAATAGTTCATAGATTGTAACAAGACATTATTGATATATATGGTCTTTGATCGTATGTCAACAACGTCCGTTATAGTCTTTTGTTAACGTCTTTCACAGTCTGAGGTGGGCTTCAAATTTTAACTTCTATCCTTAAACAGTCCTTTTAGATCGTGTTTTACCCTCAAAAAGCTTTTTTTTAATGTTTCAACATACTTGTACGCTGGTGCGTCTGGATTATGAATCATAATTGATTCAATATGAAATCGTCCATCACCAATATATAAAATTGAATAAGATTCAGGGATAATTGGCGATGTACAACCAAGAATTTCACCAGGTGATAAGGGTTTGGTTTGTGGCATAATAACATCAGCAATATGATCTTTTAATTGTTCTTTTATAATCTAATTTAAATATAATGAATAAAAATATTCAATGAGTGAAGAAAAATAAAACAAAGAAACTTTACTTGTAATGTTCGAACAAATTGTATTGTACTGACAAGTGCTAGTTTACTATCAGATGTAAAATGATGTTTTAACGTATCGACTATATGTTGAACATTAACTTGAATATCAACAAATATATAAAGAATACTTATACCAGGTGTTTCATCAATAGGAACTAAAATTAAAAAATTTGATAAAAAAATTTATGAAAATCTATAGTTTTTTCTTGAATACATGATGTATATCATGAGTACCCTAACAATGGGAGGTTATGTATTTTAACTCAAGAATATAGAATACATTCGATGAATTTTAAGATCTAACAAATTTAAAATATAACAGAGAAAAATAAATCTTTCTAAAATTTTGAATTATTGGTACGTTAGATACACTGTCAATATCTTTAAATTTGAATATTTTAGTTCACATATATCATATGTAGTTCATATTTTTAATTTGCTAGTTTATTGATGAGACTTACATTGACCTGAATATGTCAAATATTCTTGAATTACAATACAGACTCATTCATGGTTAAATATTTATGAGTTCAGGCTTACAACAATACATCAATGAAATATTGATATGTCATGATGTCGAAATTTTACTCAATTTTTCACCCAAAAAGTTATGATCTCTCTCAGGTCACTTGAAAATTCCCACTTCAAATTTTTCATAAAAAAAAGTTCTTAATGAGATTTGTTTATTAGACAAGTTGTTTTTTTTTTTGAATCATATCCTCTATCTTGAGATACTGCATATTGGTAATTTTCTCAGGTATAAAAGCAAATTTTGTTCATATATTTACATCTTCACAAAGGAAATATTAGAAAAACTAAAAGTTGCACATTTAACTAATCTAAGTAATTCAGAACTTTGCTCATGCAAAGTTTGAAATCGAAACTCTCACGTAACTTGAGAGGGATTATACTATCTTCTCTATCATTCGTGTTTATTAATCTACATTTGATATAAGTATTGCATATAACTTTATTTTGCTTGATATTTTTTTTGTAATAACTGTGAAAAAGAAAAAGTTATGTAATACTTTACAAATTGATCATTGATTACCGAAAATTTTACTATCATGACGGACATTAACACTCACCTACCGAGACAACTATGTCCATAATGTATCAATAAATCGCAATTCAATGCTCGAGCACCATGATCATCAATGCAGCATGCACCATAAGCGACGTCACCCATAATAACAATGTCAACATTTGTGTAACTTAACGGAAAAAAAAAACCAAGTCAAGGTTTTAAATCTGAAAAACGAATATTTCTCTTTCTTACGCTCTAAGTATGTCAGCAATAGTACAAGCAAATATAAATAAACCTTCAGGCATTTGCATTGCGACTAATCAAAAGACAAAATAGAAATATTGACAAAAACCTTAGTGGTGTTGTGTTTTTTTTTACTTTACCTCGTTTAGCTTTAATTGTTTTAATTCTCCATATTGTTTTATGTATTTCAAAATTATAATTTTCTGGTAATTGCTTTATTAATAAATTAAGTTCTTTATCATTAAGTAATTCATTAGGTATTTGATTAGCGTTTAATGGTCGTACTTTATTCATCTACAAAAAAAAAAAACGATACTACAATATTTATTTATTTCTATTTAAATAAATGAAAAAGAAAAGAGAAAATTTAATTTTTATGTAAACGTAAATATGTTTGATAAGAACGTTTAAATTGTCCACATGAACATGACGAATGAAAAAGTTCACGTAATGCTAATTCGATAATTAAATATAAACGTAACTGAGTAGAAACTTTACATAAACGATTTGATGTTGATATACAACAGGGTTTTCTGGCCTAAAGAAAACATAAAATAAATTTAGTTAAACAAACGATGAGGGCATCTAAGACTGCAAATCTAACCATTACCTAGATTATATGATTCCATGCAGAATTCTACACTGAGTCATTTTTAGTAATAATTTCTTTCAGATCGATTCGATAATGTCTAGGATAATAATCGAGATCAGTGATATTAGTCTTAGTTTTTCATTGTCAAACGTGTCATCGATACCGTGAGTTAATCATTAGACATGATTTATGCTTTTCTGACATGTATTTAGTAGGTTTTTAGTCAAAAAGTTACTATCGGAGCTAAAACAAACAACAAACTTGAAATCAGCATAAAAAATTGAGTCGATCTATGTCGATTTCAAATATTTTCACGAACTTTCTTTTTCGTCGAGAAATTCACTTGAGATCACTCGTAGGATCTCGTCAAAAAATGATTTCTGTCAAACTGCTTCTTTTACCATTTAGTTATTAGCTATTTAAGGTTCTAACAATACATCATAAGCGTTGACCTCAAGCTCTACTATTCAAGCAACATTTTAGTAGAATTCATTTTTTGACTTGACACTGAGCGGGACTTTGGTTGAATTTTTCGATAAAAAAAAAAAATGTTCGTGAAAACATTTGAATTAGAATAAGTTGACTCCATTTTTTATACTGATTGTAAATTCGTTATTTGTTTTAGTTCCAATGGTCACTGTTTGACCAAAAATCTACGAATTATATGTTGAGAAAGCATAAAATCATGTCTAGTGAACAATATGATTGAGATTTTTCAGGTGTCTCCTATTTACTGAGTTTGAAAAATGTATACTTTTGGAGTGTATGAAAAGTGCTCTCAAGTAATTATACAAAGAGTCACTTGAACCGAATAAGGATCTCCAGCATTCAAAAAGTTAATAAGCAGCGTCGAATTTTCAGCTAATATAATATTAATCGACAATGATTTAATGAATAAAAAAACAATGATAAATTGTTTTACTAAAGTTTTTCTTATAGTAATTGATACAAAATTGAATACTCTATCTAATAAGACCAATCTAGAATAAAAGCAATATTGCTTTTCAAATTTATTTCAGATTTGGATGACACTTTCGATGATGAAGAACTAAGATTAGTATCTCTGATCTTTATTTCTATAGACATTATCAAATTGACCTGAAATTACAACTAAATTACTAACCGTAAAACTCTGTATCAAATTATATTATCTATGTAGTGGACAGATTTATAGTCTTAGGCACTTTCATCCTTTAATGAAATATTTTACTCGATAAACATTTGTTTCATAAGCATCAATATATTCTTGTAAAACATCACGTTTTTGACTTTCTGAATCAAATGCATGTTCTGTTGCTCGCAATAATTTGAGATGTTCACTTAAATTAAAGAATATTAAAGAAAGAATAATTTTTTTTTGACTTATTATTTACTCAGCTTGATAATTAAATTTTTCAAATAATTTTTCTTTTAGTTCTTTGATTTCATTATCACGATCAGCTATTTCTTGTTGATATTCATTTTTTATTTTTAATAAAAAAGAATTATACTATAAAAGAATTTAATAGAAAATTTTTATTTTATTTCTGTTTTGCTTTACTTGTTCAATTAATTTTGCTGTATCATTCGTCTTTATTGTTTCGAGTGATTTATCTTTTGTTTCATTTAAACGAGTTATTGTACGGTGAAGTTTTAATTGTCTCATTTCATGATTATCACGTATATGGCGTTGATTGAATATTTCATTTTTTATTTCTTTTATCTAAATTATTTTGGATATTATCAAATTATGTTATCGGTGCTGATTTAACAAATTAGATCATAGTCTTTATGAATATGCGTGTAGATGCAACCAACTAGAAGTCCTTGGATTTGGTATGATTAGTTTCTACAATTTTAGAAAAAAACTTTGTATAGAAAAAGACTTTTGTTCTATTTGTGAAAAACAAAATCTTTGGGAATTGTTCAGCTCTATTCAAAAAAAATTATTACCAAATCGCAAACTATGTGAATAGATTTGTTCGAATCTAAACAGAAACCTAGACTTTACTCGAAATCCTAAGCAGAGATTTCAAGTCCAAATAACAAAAATCTGGACACAAACCTCAAGTCTATTTCAGACGCTACCTTCCAATATCAATGACGTTTTGCCTATAGATACTGCATAGTGCTTTAACGAAACATCTGAAAAGATTTGGGTTCTTATTAATTTTTGACTGCGCTATCGAATTTTGATCTGAAATTCTGCGCATACAGAGAACTCAATTAGGTTAACTTCTATAAAAAAACAAAACATTCAGAAGTGTTGAACAAAGTCCCTTCCAGATATGAAGTTTTCAAAAAAACAAACGCATGTTGTATTCACTATCTATGGGAAAAGGTCTACGTATTCAAAGTCTCAGAGCAAAATTCGAAAATACGAGTTTTCTGAAAACCTGCATTCCCTAGAAAATAGACATATTACAAATTCAATAGCTTACTCAAATTTCAATAGGAACTCTAATCCTCTTAGAGTTTTTATTAGAACACTAAGTAGTATCTATAGACCAGAAAATAATTGAAATCAGAAGGGAATACCTGAAGGAAATTCCTCATAAATAGTTTTCTATTGTCTAATTTTGAACTTTGTTTCGTGACTAACCTTATAATTAAGTTGTACTGATGCAGCCATTAATTGATCAATGAATTGATCTCGTTCAACACACGTTTGTTGTACACTTGTTCTTTGATAATGTGCTTTATCAAATGTATGACGGCTAACTTGAAGTGATTGCTTAAAAGAAAGACGAATATATGTTTATATTGAATGAAAATATAAAACTAGATAAATAGCTAGCCATATGATGCAAAGAAAAAGATGGGGTCAAATAAAGCTATTTTTTCCAAGATAAATCTGTAAGAGCAGCTAGGTAATTTACATACACATACCTCGAACTAGATTACCTATTTTGAATGGAAAGGTTTTTATAAAGACAATCATTAGTTTAACAAAAACAGACAAAAAAATCTTACGGAAAGTGATGCGCGAAGGCGATCAAATTTTTGTTTAAATAAATTTAATTCTTGTTCACTACTACTTTGACTATGACCGAGAAAATTTTCTTCATCACTTGAACGCCATGTTAATCTTGAACGTAATTTTAATGGTGGTAATTGTATAGTAGTACTATGAGAAGTACGTTTTCGTTGTGCTAATGTTAATGGAGCAATAAGTGAACGATCATAATAACTTGGAATATTTGATAATGATGACGACTGTAACTGAAATGGTGAACTACTCGAATCCCATATTAGGCTACTAGTATTTGATGCAACAGCCATTTTAAATAATCTAAAATTAGAAATAATATAACTTGACGACAATCACTTAATATCACTGTAATACATCTATCTATCTATATATATATATGTATATGTATACATATATATACGTGTAATAAAAAAGAAAAAGAAAAATGATCTTTTCTCATATAACAAAAAATTAATAACAACATATTTACTATAATCATAAAATGAAAATAGAAAACGATATATATATATATTAATGTATATATCAATCATTCTTCATTGACTGCTAATGGTGATGTTGTTGTTGTGTCATAATTATCATCCAAACGTAAATCAAATGTTTTAAGTAATTGAAAAAGTGCACCTGCTTCTTTAATATTTCGAAAATTAATACAAAAACTTTGTACTTCCAAAAATCGATCTTTTATATCAACAACTTTATTACGTATTAATGATTGTATAAAAACGCTAACAAGACGTACAAAACGATTTTGTAAATATTTATCTTTTGTTTCTTCACATGTTTTTATACATGTTGATATATATAAATGAAGAAATTCTTTTGGTAATTCAATTGATGTTGATAAACGATTAACAACTTCCATTGAATGTAAACTCATATCCATATTAAGTAATGATGATAAATATTCACTCATTTGATTTGATGGTATTAATTTTAATAAACATTGTATACTTATACATGGATTATTTTCAACTAATATTGGTAATTTTAATGGTGTAAGACCAATATGATAAATAAGATCTGGATCATTATTAAGTTCATCTAAAAGTTTTTGTTGTTGTTGTAAATTTATTGCACCTTGATAAACTTTATCCATTAATTGACGAATTTCAAAATTTGCTGCATGAGATATACACATGGTTGAATCCCATGCAAATAATGATGCATCATGATCAATATTTACTATTGGTGAAAGCCAAATAAGTTCATCTATTGTACATTCATGTAATGGTGGAACAAGACGAAGATATTCAGGATGTATTGTTTGCTCCATAACATTATTTATTAATAATCCTTCTATTGTTTGTCGACTATCATTCGATCGATGACGTAAATCACCAATAAGCGTATCAAATCCATACTTGAAAATAAAAATAAATAATAGAAGTTTTAATAGATTTAGAATAATTTCAATAATCAATGTAATTTTTCATTATCTTATAATTTATGAGATTGAATATTTATTATTGGATTTCCTTGTTGTCTAAGAGAACTCATAGAAAATTCAAAACAATTTAATTCTTATTTGCAAGCAGCGTTTCTAATGGAAATCGAAAAAAATGTTTCTTTTTACATTTTGTTTATAGAAGTAAAGTGTACATGTGTACGTTCTTTTTACAAGCGAAGTGTATCAAAATGTACAATGACAAAGTTTTTTTTCTAAAGGATGAATTAAAGAGAAAACGAAAAACAACTAATCCTTTTTTCATTTGGCGAAAAGACTTATCGATGATCAAAACAAGATGATAAGCGAAAAAAAAAGATTTTTATTCTTTTTTTTCCCTTGATATAATCAAAGAGAAATTGGAGAATAAAAGAAAAAAAATTACTTTTTCTAAAAAACAATAGAATAAGTTAAATTTAATATGTTTCCGTTGAAAAAATACATATTAGTACACATTTTGCATCTACTTGGTACACCTGTAATTAGAAAAATTGCCTATAAGCCTTCTTCGATAGATATTAAATAGAGAATTGTTACACATTCGAACTTTTACGGCATTATGATTTTCTTTAAGAAATTTGGTATATGAAAAAAAAAAATTGAAGATATCTATATATAATCACTAAGTATATATTTGATTAAGTTGATAGAAAAAGAAAGAATCTAGGAGATTGTCACCAAGGTTAAGTGTATTTCAAATTTTTGTAGGTATAAATATATAAGCTTTGCTTTTTAATGTTTGATTCTCTATTCCATTATATTCATTACAATACATAGATTACTTTGTAAGCTACAAACGTAATAATTATTACACTGAACTTTTGCATGTTTTTTATATACATTCTCTAAATACATTTAAATCTCGATTAAAAAAAGCATCAATCTTATTTCTTTCTGAACATATAGAACATTTGATTTTTCTTTTATAGTAAAAACAATTTTTCAATATCTTGACATACATGATTAATTTCTGGATCATCAATTACAGCTGGTAAATGACATTGAACAAGAGCTGGCACTTGTTGTAATCCTTGATAAATATTTTCTTTTAATTGTTGTTGTAATTCTTTTTGTTTATTATCATCATTTAATAGTAAATCAGATTGTAAAATTTCATTTGGTGTTTTATTTAATAAATCTCTATTATTATTATTATTATTAATTAATAAACTAACAAATAAACGTTCATGTTTTGTTACAGGTGATATAATCCAATGAAAATGTTTTTGTGTTGTTAATAAATGTTCTTCATTTGATTGTAAAACTGATAAAAAAACCGGTGCAAATGGATTCATATATATTGGTTGTTGTTCATTTTTATACATTTCAATAAATAAATAAAAAATAATTAAACGTTGTTGTACTGTTGGTGCTAAATCTCGATTTTGTAATAAAAGTACAAGAGCATTTCCTAAACGCAGATAATCTGATTTTGATATTCCATGTTGAAATTTTATTGATATTTGTTCAAATGTTAATGATGAACCACATGTATCTTCATTAAGTAAATTTAAAATAAGATTTATATCTTTTGATAATAAAGACATTCTAGTTAAAACAAAAATAATAACAAGAATAATAATAATAATAATTCGAATCTCAGGAAAAACATACACATATAGATAGATATATATATATACATATAAACAGACTGGAAAAATAAAATAACCAATGAAAATAATAATAGATGTCAGTGGATAAAATTTATTCTGTTTATTATTATTTTTATTTATTGATCATTTCTTTTCGATTGACTAATTTCTAAGAAAAAAAAATCTTTCATCATGTGAAAACTTCCTATTAAGGTATCACAAGGAATTTTACCTCTGCATATGTCATTTGTTTAAATGGCAGATATCATATGATCAATAATTGTTATTAGAAGAATAGACATGTCTTTCTTGAAAAGTTCAACACATAGACAAAAAAAGAAAGCCGTAGGCTTTTTTTTTTGTATAGTTTAGAAGGTCAACCTATAGGAAAATATAGGTATATATATATTAACGATACGTCATTTGTTAAGGTTATCGTTCTCATCATTTATATTGACGGTCGTTCATTATTATATATTCTAATGATGTATTATTCATTATTTTAGATTTTTTGTTTACATTTTTCCTGTCTCGAACGATCGATATATTTATACCTTGAAATAAAAATTTATTTCCCATGGCAGATGATGATCAATTTAATATGGGTAAGATTAATAAAAAGGATGAATTAAAATTTAAAGAATTTATTTTATTAAATAGATGACGATAGTGAAGATATCGAAGAAGACGAAGAAGAAGAACAAGAAGGATCAGATGATGATACTGGATTTTTTCCTATCGATGAACCAATTGTATATTCATCACAATCAAATAATATAATAACAGCACGTACTTCATCAGAACAGTCAACAACTAAACTTTCTTCCAGTTTGGGGGGAGCATCGAATACTTATTCACAAGATAATAATTTTGAATATGTTGGTAAGATTATTTAAAATATACTTTGAAACAATTGAAAAAAATTATTTGTCAGAAGAAATGCTAAGCTTAGGAAAGAAATATATTCAATTGTTTTCATCACAGATCAAAATTATAGAATATCATAAGTTAAATTCAATTAAAGTATTATATTTATAGAGAATATATTTCTATACAAAATAGAAAACAATTGTATAAAAATCTCTAGAAAAAACTTGCATTTATTTTTATTTAGTATTATCACAAGATGATATAGTCAAATATATGGTTGAATGTATAAAAGAAGTGAATGAAGTTATAAAATTACCAACAACAACTGTACGTTTATTATTACATCATTTTCGTTGGGATAAAGAAAAATTAATGGAACGTTTTTATGATCCACATCATCAAGATGAATTATTTCGTCAAGCACGTATTGTTAATCCATTTAAAAAAACTCCTCAGTTACAAACACAATTATCAAATTCATTAAATCGTTCAACACGTCGTCAAACATCAGTCACAACATCAACATCACCTTCAACTAACCAGACATGTATAATATGTTGTTCAATAAAATCTTCACATGATATGGCTGGTTTAGAATGTGGTCATATATTTTGTATTGAATGTTGGCGACATTATTTAACAACAAAAATTATGGATGAAGGTATTGGTCAAACAATACCATGCCCAGCTAAATGTGACATTCTAGTCGATGATAAAACTGTTTTAAATCTTATTGAATTACCAGAGGTTCGTCGAAAATATCAACATTTAATTACAAATTCATTTGTTGAATGTAATCGTAATATGCGTTGGTGTCCAGGAACAAATTGTACAAATGCTGTTAAAGCATCATACTGTGATGTTGCTATGGTAACATGTACAACATGCAAAACATCATTTTGTTTTCAATGTGGGCAATCATGGCATGAACCAATTAAATGTAAATGGCTTAAAAAATGGCAAAAAAAATGTCATGATGATAGTGAAACAAGCAATTGGATTGCTGCAAATACAAAAGAATGTCCCAAATGTCATGCAACTATTGGTAAAAATAAGAAGAATTTAATTTATTAAATCTGCAATAGTATAGTTGTATTAGTTGTTGATAATTTTTTTATGCTAAGAGAAAGCTCGAAAAAAGTTTGCGTAGTTCTTCTTCGTCTATTTTCCAAAGGTACTGAGAACATTAGTCATGAATCTCTAACACGATCAGTGTTTGATTACTTTAGTTGGAGGAAAAAAGTCCTAATATATACAGAAAAATTTGTTTTGAATTTTTCTTAAAACCAATTTTCCAGCAAAACAAAAACCGATACTTTCTCCTACGCGACACGTTCAGCCAGGGTCAAGTTGGAATTCAGGTGTTTTTTTTTTCTTCAAAATGTTGTTCCTACGAAATTCGATAGTCTCTAAAAAAAATTAGTTTCATTGTAAAGAAAACACGTTTGTTAATAGTGCTTGCAGTATTTTGTTCTTCCCAAGCTCGAAGAATGATAGTTTTGAAAGAGAAAAAAAAATTTCAGTTCGAAAAAATGAAGTATAGAGTTTTTGTTTTGGGTGGGGTGGGGGGAGAGTTGATTTTTACAACCTCCATATGTTCGTGATAGAAGCGTTTGGAGTCTATGGCAAATTTTGCTCTGCTTATCGAGATCTATCTGCCCTGAAAGTTTCATAATTTTCTGTCCAGCTGTTTACGAAAAACCGTGGACACAGGAAGAGATACTTTAAACTGAGAATTTCTTTTTACAATGATAATATTAAGGTGTAGAAAGTAAAAAAAACGTATTTCATATGAAAATGAAAACTTAATTATTGTTGAAAAAAAAAAATTATCAATCAACGTCGTCTAGTACTTTTGTGAAATTTATGTTTATTTTCCAAGAAAATAGTGAGTATAGGTTTTAGGTAGAAGTTTTGTCTCTTTCTATTACAGACCTTATTAATCACAGGTCTAAATCAATCATTTTAAAACTACTTTCAATTACAATTACGTAAGCAATATAATTAAGATATTCATATACGCACTAGTAACAGTGAGACAGTCTTTTTTCTTATTGTAGTTAGTGTGCGTTAACATCTATCTGCAAGTTGTCAATTCGCAAGAAATATCATTGTAGTCATTTGTTAATTTATCTATGTTGAGGGCGTGATTGTGGGCGTTTTCCTTGCTAACATCCATATCTTAGTTCTGTAAGCTTTCAGAAAGTCAAAATATATGATAGTATCTTCTGGAATGTTCTCTAGCAATGACAATATGTATCAAATATCGAATTGAAATGCTGACACAGAAATGAGAATCGTCAAATGAGTTCCATAACGTTTCAGCCTTAACAAAAATTATTTTATATGTAAACAAAGAGTGATTCGTATCCAATTATATCTATATAAGCTACGAGTACTTAGAATGATGCCTTTAAATGGTATATTATTCCATGAAATTATCTCTTCTAATAATAGTGACATAAATAGAGGAAACATGATAATTAGAGTATGGGTACAGATGACAATCACACCCACGTCCTAGATACTATGTATTGCTTTGCATAACTCGGCTACATTACATACGATGAATTCATAGTTTATTAAAACTTCTTGAAAAGATACTGGCCGATTTTAATTATCATGTTTCTGCTGTTGATATCACTAGTATAAAAAGAGATAATGTTATCGACATAATACATCATTTAGATTATTCTTCTAAGTACTCGAAAGTGTTATAGATATAATTAGTTGGATAGGGATTTATCTTTTGTTTACATATAAACTAATTTTTGATGAGATTTAGAATTTATGCAACAACCGTTTTCCTGGAGTCCACCAAACGAACCCCAAGAAGTGATACGAGAGTTAAATATTCTTTTAAATTATTATCAGAATAAAAGAATTTTCATTTGTTGTATTTTTATTTTATAGAAAAAAACGGCGGTTGTAATCACTTAATATGTAAAAATCAATCATGCAAATATGAATTTTGTTGGATATGTTTGGGTCCATGGGAACCCCATGGTTCATCATGGTATAATTGTAATCGTTTCAATGAAGATGATGCTAAAAAAGCACGTGATGATCAAGAACGTTCACGTGCAGCATTACAACGTTATCTTCATTATTATAAACGTTTTCATAATCATCATGAATCATTAAGATTAGAAAATAAATTATTAGATCAAGTACAAAAACGTATGGAATCTATGCAACAACAAATGAGTTGGATTGAAGTACAATTTCTACAAATAGCATGTGATGTACTTCGACAATGTCGTCAAACATTAATGTATACATATCCATTTGCATTTTATCTTAAACGAAATAATCATTCGTAAGTTATAGACGAAAAAAATTGAAACTAGATCTAAACAATTATTAAGTAGTGCACTTTATTATGCTATTTGTTATGCAGGATAAGTTTTCTGTATGATCGCCGAGATACGATTTATTCAATGTAAACGTATTGTAAGAATCGTTACTTAAGGATTCCTCGCCTCGTTTCGTGACTCAAAACTGTTGGTTCTTGTGATCATCATATATAGCTATCTATTGAGTATATTTTGGGGTTCAGAAATCGTCTTTGAACGTTAAGAAATTCGAGAAACACATTCGTTTCTCCAGCCTAATACATTTGATTGAGCTGAAAAGTTTTTCAAAATATACTATACACTGTTTGAAATGGTTTTTATATTATTTTTTTGTTTCAAAAAATATTATTCTGCTGATTTTTGGTAGGTCTATTCAAAAAGTAGAATGATACCAATCTCAAACAGTGTCTACGTATAGTATCTCGGAGAAACAGGAAAGGACATATTTTTCGTCATCGTGATCCCAGTATGTTATAGAAGACAGCATTCTAGATGAGAACTTTAGCGCTACTCTTCATGATCTATTTACACTGAAAGTTTCAATTTGTTTGTGATGAGCTGTTCTCCTGAAACTCCGACAAGGAGGAAAGCTACTATTAATGGAAAAGTCGATTAAAAGTCTCTGAAATTCTATGTAATAAAATTGCTTATTAATTCAGAACGATGTTGGCAATGGAAGTAAATCACTTTCCGATATGAAACGTGTTCAATGATATACAGCGTAATCCATCTTGACGCACTACTATTCTTTGAACTAGGATCTATGTTATGAATAAAAGAGTAAGATGGCTTCCCCAATAAAGTGGACTTAATCGTATACAATACTATCCATTTTGACTCATTTTCACTTGAAATCCTAGATGAAAAATGTCATTCTGTAAGGTCTAGGAAAGAAGCGCACGTAATATTGATTTCTCGTTTTCGTATCAATAAAAGTCTATTGAACAAAATAGCAGAAATAATATATTTTTGAAGTGATTAATTGTAATATTAATAATTAGAAGTACAGTATAAGAAAAAGAGCTAATGTTCACTACTGTACAAATACAGTGTCACTATTTAGTGTTTCTGTTTCTCATGGAGATATTTACTATAAGATTGTATTATGTGCTAGCACACTTAATTGATCAACAATATGAGGATGTGGATGGGTGTGATTCCATTCTTGATCAAGGCATCCACACCCACACCCGTGTCCTTTTATTTAGGATATTTTTTTTCAAAAATGAGCTTAGCTTGATTGGATTAAAGTATTAGAAGGTTTAAACGTCTATTAGTTACAATTTTAAAATTTTTGAATTCGACCATATTCCATTTTTTATTTATCTCAAGAATGAGTATATTGAGCTTGAATTCAACAAAGCTAGATATTTTTTTCTCTTTTCTTCGTCTTTTTAATCATTGTTCATGCACAACTAATAATCTAATATTTCATGCTCAAGGCATCCGTGCACATCTTTCCGGATCTCCATTCTGTATGAAAACAAAAATGTGTCTGTCTTTCAGTACGCAATACGATTTCTGTGTAAGTTCGAGGCTCATAAGTCAGTGATGGTATAGGATATCGAGCTGCAATTTGCTGTGAATGTAGGATGCTTAGAGACTAGCAAGATCTTAAAAAAATTGTTCAAGACGATCAAGGAATAACTTTATTTTCTTTTTATTAGAATTATTTTTGAACAAAATCAAGCTGATTTAGAACTTGCTACTGAAGAATTAAGTGGTTATTTAGAACGAGATTCAACTCAAACCACAAATTTAACTGAAATGAAACAAAAAGTGCAAGATAAATATCGTTATTGTGGTACACGTCGAAAAGTATTATTAGATCATGTTGCTGAAGGATATGAATGTGACTATTGGTAAGTTTAAAAAAGTTCTATTGCTTTTTTTTAAGTAATAAATTTTTTTCTTTGGTCTTATTCTAGGGAGTATAATGAGGATGTATGAAAACTATATATATATATATTATTTATCACGCAAGATGTATATGACAATTATAGATATTCATTTAAATGGTGTGTTTATATCTATGTCGTTTATTATAATCCCTTTTGTCCTTATTTGGATATTTAGACAAAACTTTAACGTATATCTGCTATTCAATACTCATTCTATCTTTTCTTTCTATTTCATTAAATTGTCTCTTGTGTTTAAATTTTCCAAGAAAACAGAATATATTAAACAAGACCAAAAATTTTCTTTTTTTTTTCTTTTTTAATGATATATTGTGAATTTTTTTGTCATATGGCAATTATATACATACATATATAAATTGAACTAATTATTTCTCTTTTCTTTCTTTATAATATTAAGTGGCACGCTTCAACAAGTGATTCAAGTTGTAAACGAATAATCGAAGATGTATGAAAAGAAAAACAATGATACTTTCGGAGTTATAGATGATATCCCAAAAAGGATAACTTTGTATAGTTTTCATGACATATTTTGATTAAAAATTTAGCTCGATAATCTTGTATGTATATATAATGTATCTTTTGGATAGAATAATTATATTTATTCAGATGCAAAAGGCTCAATAAAGTTTTTACAATGCATAGCAAGAAATATAACGATACGAACCTTCGCTCAATGACTGTATTCATTAGCAGTATTAATTACATCGAGTTTCGTTGTACCTACAGATGCTCTGATTTCTTTTTAATATGATTTAAACTACACTATTATTCATTTGAAAAAAGAAGAGCCGTGTATGTTTGATAGACAGCTGTGACTTTCACTATTACAAAGAGAAGATCCAGGTTCATAAATACGTGCTGAAACTTGATTACTAATTTGATTAGTAGATAGGAAAAATTGTTCTCTTTTGATCTACACAAGATCAACATTCCTAGCTTGTTTCATTTAAGAGTAATAAGAAGGTGTGGGTGTGAGTGTTGTGGTCGAAGTGGGTGTTAGTCTTCATTCTAAAGTCACCCACACCCACCCATACCCAATAATTCAGTCCTCTTCACATCATATGGTCATTGTAATGTCCTCTATATACAAAAAAAATCTAGCAAAGAAATCAAATTGTAAAATTGCAGATTCTTTTATACATTTGATAAAAGTATTTAGATTTATTTCCATGAGAACAATTTCTTAATTTCAGAAAAAAATAATAAAATTTCCTATATATTTTAGTTAACATGAATTAAAAGTTTGCAGCTGACATCTTCAGATAAGAAAAGAACAAATAGAACTAAATAGCCTAATTGTCTAAATATAATTATTATCAAAAATGACATCATATTTTTAGATAAAAATATAGTAACTTCAGATATTTTAAAGTACACTATGATATGTCATTTGCTTTCGCATGTGTCTATCATACTAGTTTGCTTAATCGAAAGAAAAGAAAAAAGAGAACAGAAAAAAAAACAGATAAGAGAGAGAGAGAACAAGTTGAAATGACAACGATCAGACTGGAGTATTCTGGAACATTCATGATAATACTACAACGTACTACTCTTTTATCCTCAGGCCTATATATATGTGAGTGTGTGTTTATGTTTTAAACTAGATATTCAACTTTTATTTTGCAATTAACTGCGACTGTCTCAACACTTCTAAAAACTCAATAATGGCCTTATTCCCAATTCGTCGATATCGTCTTTTCGACGATCCATTCGATCGTTTTTCTAGCACATGTTGATGGTCGAAAAGTTATTGTCGAAGCTAAACAAGAAGATCGTCAAAAGGATGGTGATTTTACTATTCAACAAATTCGAAAATCATATGAATTACCTGAACATGCTGGTAAGTAAAAATATTAACATTATTTAAGCTTGAAATATCTATTCTCTTTTCTTTTAATATAGATACAAATCATTTAACTTCATATGTAACACCAAATAATATTCTTGTCATTGAAGTGCCTATTCGTAATCCAGAAGCTGAACGTCGTCTTGCACAAGCAAAGAAAGATAATCAAAGTTTAACACAATTTGGTCATTATCGTGATCCATTTTTTGATTATGTTGATTTCTTAAGTGGTTCTGATTTTCAACCACATATTGTTGATAAAGGTAATAATCAAAAACAATTAGAAATGACTGTTGGAATAAAACATTATCAACCAGAAGAAATTCAAGTTTCGATAAAAAACAATGAATTAATTGTATAAGGTGAACATAAATATAAAGATGAAAATCGTTCAGAACGATCATATTTTTTTAAATCAACAACATTATCACCCGGTACACAAGTTGATCAATTAAAATCGAAATTAATGGATAATGGACAATTAGAAATTGAAGCACCATTTATTGAACAAAAAGAAACTGCAAAATCAATCGAAAATCATAGTAAATAAATGTCAGAATTGTTTATATCATATAAACACGTTTTTTTTCTTTGTTTTTATTGTATAATGATTGTTTTTTTTTGTTTTTATTATTAGTTATTTGTAAATAAATAAAGAAAAAGAAAATTCATAATTAATTTATTTAATTTCTTAGAAATTCGATACAATCGATGATAGAGAATATATTCGTATTACAATAACAAGCCATGCCCTTTTTTTGCTACTAGATTGAAATTGAGTTCATTCGAATACATCTGATAATAATTAGTATTATTCACTTTTCTTCAGTTTGACCTGTCATTATTATAGAGTTAACTCTAAGAACAAGATTTGATGTCATTTCTTGAGATTACAATAGGCTAAAAGATATCAGAAATCGTAAGATATAGTGATGTATAAGTTTCAATAATGGATAGAGACAAATTTCGGGACGAATGTTGTTTTGTACAATGATATATATTCAAAATAATTCCAAATGTAGCCATCTACACTGAATATTGAAAGATGTCTTTATTTTGAAATAAAAGAAAAATCACATATTTACGATAAGTGAACATTAAATAGTCATTATCATGAGTATTTTTGTTGATGAAATACAAGATTTGGTTAGGAATAGATAAGATTTTTTAGTTTAAAGGCAGAACTTGAACGGTTTCCCATTATCATGAATTATTTTAAAAACTTTTGGATAGATAATTACGGTTAAAAATGTATTTAACTCTATAAAAATATTTCATAAAAAGGCATCTTTGGACTGTCAAAGTTAAAAATCGCCAAGTACCGTTATTTTTGAGTTATTTCATATCATTTTAACTCTTATCTCGAAGTTACATTGTAAATTAAAATCAATTTGCAGTGTAGTCCAATTGAACTTTCTATTTCTATTATCGTTGCTTAAGGCTATTACAGGCTGCTTTTGTTCGATCAACAGTATATAGTAAGAAAATACAAACCTTACTACATTGCATGACATATTAATTCTAAATAACAAACAAAGTTTAAGAAACAAAAAAACAGATAAGAAACTAGATGGCATGTAAGCTGCACTTGATTGTGAAATGGGCGACACATTTTACTTCAGTGTTTTGACTTATATTGTACCGTATCTTTTTTTCGACATGAAGGTCACTGCAAACATCGTTCTCATTTGTATCACTCACAAGGGAAGGTATTCGAGTGTGACGCACCGTTTTGAATCAGATATATACCAGATTGTAGAGCTCGATGAGCCTAGAAAAGGCCTAAAATGACTCGTTTCCATACTTTGTACTTCTTGAGTGTTGGCCGTTTTACTGTATTTTCGACCTATGACAAGACTTATAGGAAGAAATCGAATTACGAAATTTTGATTCGAAACTTTGCTCACAGATAGTTCTTGTAGCCATTAAAATGCCCTAAAAACTTCAGCTTAAAAGAATATTTCCTTCTTGAGATATTGAACATCTGAAATAGGGTCATATTTCACGAGCAAAGGCAGAAAATCGAACGACTTTATCATTCATTCTTTTGAGCTGAAATTTTTAGGACATTCTAATGAGTATGTGAGCTATCTGTGGGCAAAATTTCAGGTAAAAATTTGGTAATTCAATTTCTTCTTATAAACCTTGCCATAGGTCGAAAATGCAGTAAAACGATCAAAACTCAAGAAGTACCAAGTATGGAGACAAGTTCTTTTAGGCTTTTTCTAGTCTTATCGAGCTCTACAAACTGGTAGATATATCTGATTCAAAATGACGCGTCACACGTGAATACCGGGCCTCAACAGATGCTTTTGTTTTACGAAAGTGTCAGTTTCGAAGTCATCCATGTTATGACAAGAAATTAAATTTGTATTCGCTTTTGTTGTAGAGCACGAAGAAAATGTTTTTGTTTTTTGGTCGCCAATTTGATTGCTTCTGAGACTCAGCGTGACTAGTGTCTGTTTTGAACAGGGAGTGAATGATAGATAGAGAATGAGATGATGCTACTTGGTTTTGTACAAAGGTTTTGGCAAGGTGCTGTGCTGCTTGATCATCGATTCGAGTGCAACGAAGTTTCAATATGGTTAGGGTCTATATGTAGGAATAAGAAAGTTGAAAGAATGGAAGGATTCATGAAGGAATATTGTGACGGGTTTGTAATCGTTGGGTTTTGATTGAATTGGGAAATCTTTGATTCAGTTCGTCGATAACTCAATGTTTTTTGTTTTGAAAGAAGATTCACTGAGATATGTGAGCAAATATAAAATTTTTTCGATCATGTAAATTGCCTTGAAATTGTTGTAGAATGTCTGATGTGTGTTTTTAAGCTCCTCGGGAAAGAACAATGAAGATCACTACCAGCTGAAAGATTCCGGTTTTAATGACGCCTGATATTCATAGATGTTTGATAAGCAAAGATGTTTATTTCTCATCGTTGGGAAGAGCTGTTTGTATTCTTACTTTGTGTCTTAAATATTGTTACAGTTGCGTGTGATATTTTAATTGAAGTACAATGGAAATAAACTGCTCATATATCGCTCCGTATCAGTAGTGCAATAGTGTTGTAAAGACATTGTTCTTGCATGCCTTGGATTCATTAGTTTATAGTCATATCAATGAATGATACTTATTTTCGTGATTGTTGGTTTTTTACTAGTGATATTTTTCAGTTAATTTCAACTATTGTTAGTGGCCAGTCACAGCTTCGGTTGGAACTTACAGCAACAGTAGTTTTCAAAAAATCATCAAATTTCTTCAATTCAATCTTGCAATGAGAGCTTGGTCAAGAAAAATTCTCTAGTGATACAATATATAGATTGGTATCTTAGATATATGAATAATGTGTTAAAGATGACAATAGTGAAATTTTCAAATATAAGTTTTGTATCTGCTACGGATAATAACTACTAGCAATAGCATTCGTACATCTGCAAATGTTTCGCGTCGAGCATAAAATATTGAAATCATTAAGATTGTCAAGAATTCATTAGATGAATTCTATCAGTAAGGTAAGAAGAGTTCAAATTGGTTTGGTGGACATTGATGAAAATTTTTCAGATGTTTCCAATGTTCCCTCTACTGAAAGGAGGGTCATACGCTGAGTGAGTTATCTTCGTTCGTTCGTATGTATGTATGTATGTGTGTTCGTTCGTTCATTAGAGCGCCGGAGATGAACTGAGTTCATTCATTAAACTAAGTGAGACAAAGTTTGACCCAGGATTTTTCGGGTCGAGGAATCCAAATCCGTGATTATTTTTTTGAAATTTTGTACCGTATGCTGCCGTGAATAGGACACTTTGTTTCAGAAACAATTTGTGTCAAAACTTTATCGATTCACCGAATCAGAAGAATAGTTTGGAAGATATTCATTACTGAGTTCGAAATATCGCTGATAGAGTGGAGGGTGCTGTTGCATTTGCATCCAATGCATTATGTTTTGCAGAAGTTTAAATAAGTTCGTATTGATCTCAGAAACTTTTGTTTTCCAATATGAGATCGATTTTAGCTCGCACTTTGCGACTTATTTGAGTACAGACGAAGCTCAGTTGGGAAAACTGAGCTTCAAAATAAGTCGTTCTAAGAAAGTTTGTTATAGTTGCTGTAACTTCAGATAAAAGATGCTACCCGCCCAGGAAAAGTATCTGTGGCTTCGTTCTCAGGTCACATACTGCTTCCGTGCATGCGTGTTCAGTTATTGAATGTAATACCGGTAGATGGTTGCAACTATTAATTTTTCTTTTTGTACTAATGCATGCATGAAATTTTTATTTTAATAGATTAGTTATAGAAAGATCATCAAACAATGAAGATTAGAGAGACACCTTTTGTTCACAATCATTTAATAAAACTTTTTTAGGAATTTTCATTTTTCGTATAGCAACTGTTTCTTATAATATCATATTACTTTATTATATCGAATACATTTAAATAATGTTTGAATAATAACCATTCGATGTGCTTCTAATTCTTAATTATTTGTTTTAAATCAAACTTTATTTTTCTCGAAAATGTTCTGTTTTGCTTCTCTCCCATGTGTTTCAGGTTCATGTTCACTTGCTAATAATATGAATCATAATGTTTTATTAAATCTTGTGCTTTAATAATTTGTTGTGAATGAAGTGTATGATGTGATAATAGATCATAACCTGCTATAGTTTCTTCAATCATTTCAAGTTGATTGATTATATGAGTAAGAAAATACTATTTAAAAATAAACGAAACGATTAGAAATATAACGAACTTCATCAGCATCTGTATTGCAATATTTTCTTTCGATTGATCACTATTGATACTTGATACATGACGTGAATCAAATAAATAAATCATCGATTGTCGAATAGTCATTGCATTAATATTAGTTGAAGTATTATTTAATGGTTCTTATGAAAAAACATTTGAAGATTTTGTTTCAGCAGACGATGGTGAAATGATTGCTAGTTGATGAAGGTTTAATAAAACCTAAATTAAAAGAATATTTTCAAATTTCGAATTGATAATGTATCTTACAGNTGAAGTGTTGAATGAGCAAAAAAAATTAAAAATTTTTTTCTTCTTCAGTGCCTCGTATATGGACATGATTGATACTCGATGGTCTCGCGAATCTTCTCTGAATTAATAGATTGTTTCTCGAAAGAACTAGTCACTTGAACCAATTCGTTCACGCGGCATACTTAAGTTTTTTGTATTAGCATCTTTCATACTCAGATAGCCTTGCACTAACAAATATCAGTTATATGAGCATCCTGATCTTGTCTGGCGTACGCCTACGGTCCGCATCGTCTTGAAGTAGCAGTCAATCAGTATATAGAAACATTTTATTAAATTTGTGAAGTATGATCATAAATCGCAGAAAGTAGAGGGATACCAAATATATGCGCATTTCTCGATTATGAAATGATCAGCTTCATTTTTAATAAGACTCAGTTGAACTTGAGTAGCTTTATCTGTAGTACATTGTGACCGGTGCTTACGGTGCTCGTATACCGGTGGAACGGTGAACGGTGCACCGCTACTACGGTGACCGGTTGGTACGGTGCACCGATTGGTACGGTGCGCCGGTGGACCGGTGGCACCGCTCCTACGGTGAACCGGCGAACCGGTGAGACCGGTGAACGGTGAACCGTAGACCGATCACACCGGTGACCACCGTCACCGTTGCATCCCTAGTTATTTGCTTAGAATCGAATTGGTTCAAGTGACTAGTTCTTTCGAGAAACAATCTATTAATTCAGTTTTACAAAAACATAACATGGGAAATTCATATAGATTATTGGGTTTCTATTAGAAACAATTCCTATTTTAGTCTATCAAGGGGAAAAATCACGAAATCCTGCCACCTTGAATTGATCCGAATCCCAAGGATTCTTCAGGGTTCCCTAGGAATCTATAGAATTCTCTTGAAATGATGTGGGTACGACTTTTCTATCACCCACACCCGTTTTTCACGAAAACAATCCCTATAGCGGCATAAGAAAAACCATTTTGCACAAAACAATAGTTTTTCTTCGTCATCGTGAACTCGGATAAATGATATTTTATCTTATGATTTTTGTTTGGTATTTAGCTTCTTATACAAAAAGATAAATATGAAAAAGAGTATCCGTCTGTAAATAGCGTAGAGGCAATGAGGTACTTTATCTATCATGGATTGTAGAAACTTATTTTGCTTTTGGTAGAGTTCAATATTATCGGATTATCTCCACTTGATTGTTAAATGAACATTTTAGAATGATTAATATATTACACTTCTGCACAAAAGTTCCCCCCCCCCCTTCGTTTCTGTGCAATCATACTTTGTATAAAATTTATTGGCAAGTAAAGATATGACTTGTGAGTTTTATTTCAGTATGATGTACGGGTCATAATACAATAAAACTCTCTAGTCATATCTGTACTCGACAATAAGTTTTATACAAAGTATGATAGCACAGAAACGAAGAGGTCCAAAGTCTTTTGTTCACGGGTGTATTTTATGATTTCTGTCTTTTGATTCTTTCAGAAATATTTTATTTAGAACAATTATTGAAACCATAATTTAGAATTGTTTTATTAGCTTTACACATTATCAGATATACAATTCTTATATAATAATAAATTCTACTAAAACGAATAGATCGTATTTATAAAAACACTAAAACATAAAAATAATCAATGAATAATAATTGTTTAAATGTTTTTGTTTTCATCGAGACACAGTTTTAAGACATCACTGGAACAAGATATATTTTCATATTAAAATATATCTTATTCCTACTTTTAATTTGATGCTCTAAATGTACTATTTACGATGTTTTTACGGATATTCGAAGTCATTGAGCTGAGAAAGTGTTCTTTGTATTTTGTTGCTCTTAATCAGCTGAAAAGATTCTCAAAGAAATTATGAAAACTTTGTATAGATTTTTATATTTCATACAAAAATTGTCAAAATACAACAATGGACAAAAGTCTTTCCCCCTCTTTGTTTATCTGCTATTATACTTTGTATAAAATTTATTACCAAGTAGAGATATGACTTGAGAGTTTTATTGTATTGTGACCAGTACATCATACTGAAATAAAACTCTCAAGTCATATCTCTACTTGGGAATAAATTTTATACAAAGTATGATAACACAGAAAGGAAGAGGGGGGAAAACTTTTGCCCGAGAGTGTAAATGCATGGGAAGATAGTCAGAGTTCTGCTCTTTCAGAAACAATATGATTTTTAAACCGATAGCCCTTTTTGCGACAAAATGTTTGATGATTTCCGTCGACGTCTTCTTGAAAAATATGCTTATTTTGAAAAAAAACGAAAAGGTGTTTTGTCTTTGGGTGTGGATGTGGGTGTAATGGTGTAGGTGTGGGTGTGAGGGTGTAGGTACGGATGTGGGTGCAGGTGTGGGTGTTAGTCTTCCCTTCATTCATACCCACACCCACACCCTAGCACTCCCCTATAAATAGCAGTGCACCATGTGCTAGAGCTCATTCTTGTCAAGAATGAGGTAGGGGTAAGATGAAATAAAAGAAAGTTCGAAGTCTCAAAAGGACGTTTTTCATACGTCTCATTTAGTCTTTTTGAGGCATGGTCCCCCCTATAAATAGCAGTGCACCATGTGCTAGAGTTCATTCTCGGGAAGAACGAGTTACAGGTAAGATGAAAAACAAATTCGAAGTCTCAAAAAGACAACTTTTCTACATCTAAGTCAGTCTTTTTGAGACATCGTGTCCGCTGTGTATAGTAGTGTAGCATGTGTTGGAGTACATTGTTGTTAGGAACCAGAGAGAACGAAGATGAATGAATAGAAAATGTGGATGTGTGAAAAGTTCCGGTAAAGTATATCTAGATAAGTATTGCTGAGACTTGTTCTCGCGTACATTGGGTGTGGGTGAGGGTTTGGGTATGTGGGTGTGGCTATCTTGAGGGTGAGGAGTGGGTGTAGGCTCTCTCAAATCACACCCACACCCTGAATCTATAGCAAAACTATATCCATCTCAACTGTAACCAAGTTGAACAAAACGAATTGATGCAAATGATGATGGAACAGTTAATTGTATTTGATTAATTAATGTTAAATTACCGAAATTAATTTGTACATAAGTACTACCAGATAACATCCATTGACTTGATCGATAGTCAGTTTGCCAACCAGCTATTTAAAAAAACAACAAATTATTCTTTTATATTAATGAAAGAAAAAATTTGATAAAGATTTATATTACTTGTTCGAACTAATGATGCATCTGATCTAGTAACACTTATTGTAAATTGACAAGAATCTAATGTATCGAGTCAAGTTGTATAAGTTAAAGCTAATATAAATACAATTAATCAAAGAAATATTTTTACAAAAAACAAAAAGTATTTGAAATACACGATACTATTGATGTTGATAACGATATAATATCAGTAAAAGCAAATATTTTTGATGCAGGATAATATGCTACATTAGCTGTTTACACAAAAAAAACATTTATTTGTGAATTCATATCTTCATAGTCAATTTACCATGCACGTTTCATACAAATCAATTCATAAGGTATTGTAATACTTGGTGAATTATATCTTTGATAAACTAAAGCCATCTGATTTGATGTACCAATATTAAGAGTAAATATTAATGAACCAACATCATTGAATAAAAGTGTACCCAACTGAAAATAAATTATTATTAATTAAAAAAAACTCTTTACAAAAAGAAAGAAAAGTAAATAAATTTTTAGTTACATTGAATAGAACATATGAATTATAATCAGTTGTATAATTTACTGCAGAAGTTGTTGAATTATAACATTGAAATGACATTCATGTTGGTAAATAAATTATTATTTGAGCATTAATACATTCAACATTAGAATTATTTTCATGGCTATATTGAATTATACTAGTATATGTTAATCTAATTACAAGGATAATATCAATCGGACAATGTCCGGTTAAGTAAAATAATTGTTTTTGAATAACTATATTGCATCTTGAAACCTTTGATTATTCTTGTTAAGAAAGTTTTCTATTCATTGTTGAATAAGACTTATGATAAAACGTCGGAGAATTTTTGTTATAAAAAATTAACATGAAATATAAATTATTTCATCTTTCTACTCTCTCTTTCTATCGTTTATATTCGAACAAGGAACATTAGGGAAATGTTGATGCCTTACAGCAGATAATTTTTTCGGCAAAAAAGCAAAACAGTGTAAGAAAGAAATTATTTTGGAACATTCTCTATTTTGCAGTTATCATTATACTTTCTAGCTCAACTTTTTTTGGATATGAACTTCTAAAAGTACCTAAATGGTATGTTGTCACACTTTCGAGGACTCAGACTCTGTTAGCAGATTTGGCTTCAGTTATGCATTTAATTTACGCTTTTTGAAATATAATGGATCCTAGGGATAGTTTAGGTAGGAAAAAAATTCTAAATTTAGTTTACAATGAAATGAGACACTTCCCATAAGAAGTGTAGTTTCTATAATTATGTTAACGAATGGGAAATGTATCTGCTAATAATCGCAAGAAAGAAACATCTTTTAATCTCTCGAATAATATACAAAAATCAGTGTTCGACTCGAATCGAATCGGATCACGAAAAAAAAAACATTTTTTATTTAATCCAATACTTTTTGAATATATTCGTATTTCTTCGTACCCTACTCCATAAATTCCACTAGTAATATCAGTATGATTAACAAACATAATTGGACGTTCAGTTCCATTTCTAGAGACAACATTTGAAAATGAATTTGAAACATTAATTCCTCCATAAATTGCAGTTTAAAACAACGCTAAATGTAAAATTTTCTTCAACTAATGGACTATCTGTTAAATATCCATTTGCTTGAACAAAAATAAAAATTATCCGTTATATTCGAGAATGTATTTTTCATACCAGTATTTGTTACAACACCTAAATCAAGATAAGCTATATCTTGATAACTTGAACCTGATATACTTGATGAATAAATCCATTGATATTTATTTCCAAGTATATATTCATACATAAATGATCCAACATTAATACCAACTGAAAGTATTTTAGCTGAAATTATATTAATTGTAACACTATTTGACATTTGTGTACTAACTATAAAGATTTGTAAACGTCATTGAGAATATGTTGGTAAATATATTTTAAATGTATATGTCACTATTTGATGTATACTACTTTGTATTATTGAATTCATTGCTGATATAAGTACATTGTTGTATCATTTGACTAAAAGATTTATTTGAATAAAAATATGAAAATTTCAAAAAAAAAAACGAGAAACTTACAAATAATGTACAACCAGAATAAGTTGTATGATTTTTTACAATTAATGCTGCTATAATTATTGATATTGAATTACCTACTGGAACTGTTGTTGTTACTGGTACACGAGCATTACTTTGAATAATTAACTAAGTCAATGAACAAAAAAATAATGATACTTATCGATATTTAAAGATTTATCCATATCAACTTACTGTGCTTGCTGGTATATTCATAGGATCAATTGAATAATAACAAACTGTACCCAGATCGAGATACATTGAAGTATTATATAATGTTGAACCACCACCATCAAAGATAAAATTTTTTTTTATATATAGAAAATAAAAGCTGTTAGCCCAATTTCCGCCGGATTAAAATATGAAACATGATGTAGTTGCTGTTGCTAATCATTGGGAGATGGTTTTATTCTATCTATTTTGGGAAACATTTCTTCACAATCCTTTTACTTAATCCTCAAGAAATATAATAAGGAAGTACTTCATATACTGTGGAGGCCAAATGAAACCCCCCCGACCGTATTTCTATCTTTTTGTTCCTATAATATTTCCATTTTTTAATCCACTATATATAGAAAGAAAGCTCGAAACGCGCTGCATCTTTTGGTTTATTTCGATTGAATATCGAATATTGTTCAATATATGAAAAACATATCAGAAGAAAAAGTAAGGTTTTTTTTTACTACAATATACTTGTCAGATTGGTTTGTTTCATGACAAAAAATACTAATTTGAATGGATCTTGCGATTTATACCTTACATTTAGATAATATTCTTCCTATAAAAAGATTTGAATCAACAGACTGACCGACATCAAGCTTTTCCTGTTTATGTAAAATATGAAGCTATTCATTTACAAATGAAAGCACATTATTTAACGAGTCATACTGACCGACACGTGATATTTTGAATGCTTACGCGTTTTTCTTGTTCTTCTCTTCCTTGTGCTACTTCCACGTACACGTACATGTATATATAGAATATCTGGCTGTAATGAATCGACAGTACCATCCCATCGAGAATACCAGCTCATGATAAGTTTATGTCCACCTGTGATTTTAAAACGTTTGGCTAATGATTTAAATCCACAACCGGAAATTCCACGATCATATTCTTCAAGCACTTTATGCTTGAATTGTGATGTGTATNAGACAAGTGATTGGAGGATGGATAAAATTTAAACCAATAATATATTTTGATAGAGCGCTGGAAGGTGAACAAATTATGATATTTGTGTTTACTTCTTTTTAACTTTTTATAGACAAATTATCCGTTCTTTTTTGCGCGTATCATCAAAAAAAGACATTTTAGTGAAATGTGTCCGTCATAAGTCAGCTTTAGTACAAGATAGAGAGCTGAAATTTTGTGTGTATGTGGGACACTTAGGGCCTAATATCATGTAAAAAAATTGTTTAAATCGGCTGAAGAGAAAAAAAATTATTCAAAAAATACCTCTAAAACTCAATCGTACCAAAAAATTGCAATTCACTCATATATATATATATATCTTACATCAGGCAAAGTCATAATAAAATTATGTGCATTAGCCATTTTTGCTGCTGCATAAATCTCGTCATCAGTTGCTGTATCTCTTCCAAATAAAATATTTTCTCGAATAGTTGCTTGAAATAAAATAGGCTCTTGACTAACAACACCAATATGTTGTCTTAACCATTTTAAATTATATTCTGTGACTTGATGACCATCAATGAAAACTGAACCTGAATCAGTATCATAGAATCGTTGTAATAATTGTACACATGTTGATTTTCCTGAACCAGATGATCCAACAAGTGCAATTGTTTGACCACGTTTAACATCAAATGAAATACCATTAAGAATTTTAACACCAGGTCGTGATGGATAAGAAAAATGAACATTTGTAAAACGAATATCACCAACAAGATCAGTTTTTTTCAGACCTGTTTCTGAATCACTATTTATTTTAGATGGCTAGAAAATAAAAGTAAGTCAGAAATAAATAATTTTTATCTACATGAAATTTATAATTGTCTACTTCATCAATTATTTTCCATATGAGATAAGCGGCAGCACGTGCTTGAGTTAATGCTTGAAAGTGTGGACTAGCTTGACCCAAATTGAAAATAGCAATAATAATCGAAAAGAATACCTAAAAATTACAATCGTTATTGAAAAGACAACGTTTAAGATGGCTGTAAAAGCTATTTTATAGAAAACTATCTAAACATAATTTATCTCAGTAGTGAATATTTGAATAACACAAAATAGATTTCAGTGAACTGAAAAGTATCCTTTTCTTTCCGAGGTATTAAAGTTCCAAAAATCACTCATACTTCATGAAAGATGCTAGAATTTTCCGTTTTTTGGGACTTTGATATCTCAGAAAGGAAATATTCTTTTGAGCCAAAATTTTTAGAGCATTCTGCTGACAAATGGATCTATCTATGGACAAAATCTGAAGTCGAACCAGCATTATTCGATTTGCTAGAAAATACCATACTAGCAGCTAACATAAATTCCAGTAAAATGCCTATAATTCTGAATAGAAAGTCTATAGAGAATTATCCTTTTGAGAATTTTTCATATTTTACTAGAATCTATCTTATGTACAGAGTTAGAATTCAAAGGCGATGGACTTGTTGAAAATATTCCTTTGTAACGTTAATCAACTTACAATGATAACATTACCAATATTATATCCTTCTTCTCGAATTAATTTTGCTCCATACCAAAATCCTATTGTCAAAATATACATCGCATAAAAAATAAATTAATCATTAATATAGACTAAATACCTAATGCATATGCACAATAGATAAAAAACCATACACAACCCATTGTAAAGCCATTGATTGCACCTTTTTTTATACCATTTTTTTTAGCGTCACCAAGATGGTGCTCATATCTATCAAAACCAAGCATATATTATTTGTTTAAAAAAAAAACAATTAGAAGATTTATTATTGAAATCCAACCTTTTTTCTTCTCGTTCTTGTCCATTATAAGATATAACTGTACGAATTGAGCTAAATACTTCTTCAGCTATTGCTCCTGCTTTACCATAAGCTTTTAATTCCATTGCTGTCAAACCGGAAGCAAGCTACAAATAGATATCATAATAATCTATTTTTATTATTGCTTTCGAATATAAACAAGTTACTTTGGAAAAAAGCACAGCTGAGGTAAATAATAATGGAGATATAGATAATATAACTAATGTTAATTTCCATCCTTTAGCAAAACCTATACAATAAATATATTAAAAAAGAATAAATTTCTACACATCTATAAATATATATAAACTTACCAAGAATAAATCCAGTAAAAAAAGCAGCTATAAATTGCGATGTTGAACCAATTTTATCTCCAATTCCATCATGAATTTTATTAACATCATCTGTTAATTTTGTATTAAGTTCACCGGCTTTATGTATATCAAAATACACAATTTCTTTTCGAAGAATTGATTGAAATAATTTTTTTCTAATTGCTTTTGTTTGTCTTTCAGCTGCCATACTCCAAAATAATACTTGAATATATCCGACAACAATTCCAATACAACCAAGCACAACTAAATACAGTACTTGCTTTTGTATTTGACTTTGAAAATCGAATGAAGTTTGATTAAAATGACAAATACTAAATCATAATAATTTATTATTTTTAAAAAGTTTTTCCTGTTTTTCTTTCTCTAAACATATACTTACGATAGTGATGATAAATAATTCGACGCTGTTAATTGATAACCTGGTGGACAATATGTAATAGCAAGAGCTGTAAAATTAAGTTTACATAACTCAGTAGATCGATCAGTAAATGTATTTAGAAGATCTCCAAATACTAGAACCATTATTGGTAAAAGAACACCATTACCAAGACCTCCGATAGTACCCACTAACATATAGATTATATCAAGTGTGGTGGCATATCGAAACTAATATACATATATATATATATATATTACAATTGTTATTCAACGAACAATTCTCATTTCTTACCAAACTTCCAAAGCTTACAGTTTCAGCAGATTTTTTATGTTTTTCTTCGGTCGGAAGCCTTTCAGCAGAATTCGGATCGTTAGAATTTTCTTTTTCGTTTGAAGAAATAATACTATATATGAGAAGAATATTAAAATCAAAATAATCATTTATCATACTTTTCATCGATAATTTCATTGTAATATACAGCAGTGATATCTCCATTGTTGTTGGATATCTTTGTATCTTGATTGTCACTCATTATGCAAATTTATTCGACAAAGGTACTCAAAATGAGCCTGTTGTAAATGCTCTTCGTATTTTTCGTTTTTTTCTTTTAAGTTTTTTTCTCTTCTTTTCGTTCTCAGCAGCATTTCAACGTCAATATTTTACATACTTGAATCACCATGCATCTTTCAGACAAACTTTTATGATGACGTTTTTTTTTTTTGCAACCCAAGTGCAACGCAAATACATCTTTTATTGTATTGTATATATTGTGGATATACGTAGTTTAGGCGAATATGAACTTAAAGAAGGAATAATATGTCCTAGAGGTAAGATTAAGTTGTGTCTGTTTGAACCGAACTTTGGGCAGACTTAAAACTTATAAGAAGATTATAAATATATTAGAGTATCAATTTTAGGTAAAATTGAATCGAATGAAATCAACTTGGTTTTTAACAATTTCAAATTGAATGAGTCATGAGAAAATAAATGTTTGCATTGAATTGCTCTTTAATGTTTGGTTATTGTTAAAAATATTCAAGGAGAAACAAGACTCATCTGGAGTAAAACACGATGCAGTTATGTTTGAGTAGTTAGTTAAAGTAAACCGTCGAGGAACAGAAGTTTTATTCAATGAGTAATGTACGCATATATGAACAAAATAAACAACGCAAAAAGAACGAATAACCTTTATAGTTAAATACATGATATAAAAAAAGAATCGATCGAATTCATCATTCGGAATAATTTCTTTTTTTTTCCTAACAAATAGCGCACTATCAGCTTTTATTGGGAGCGGAGGGGTTCGGTTATCAATTTCATTCTTATGTTTTTTATGAAAAAAAAAACATCGACGTAATTGAACAAACTATAAATAAAACTGGAGAACTAATACTTATTTATACTTTCTACCGCGACAATTCATTGATTAAATCCTGCTTATCATTGATAACCAACTTCTAAAGCAATAAAAAACTTACTGTTATGAAATAGTGAGACGAATTATAACAGTAGTTTTTCTGTCCTAATATTTAATGTCAATATTATTAAACATATCGAGAATTGATTAGAAATTGTTTATTCTCAAATTTAGCCGTAGACGAATACGACAAAGTAGAGTCTCATAAATTTGTTAAAAAAGAAACGAAATAGACAACAAATACATGAGTCAATTTTGTACAACAAATTAAAAATGCAAACAACATTAATATCTCTAATATGAAAGTTTTTGAGATTCAAAAAAAAAAGAAAAAATTAGACTTCAAAACGGATACTATCTCTATCAACAACCACTGATTGTGGAGCATTTCGTCCGCTAGTTGGAAGTGTATCATTACGCACAAACGATGATGTTGTCGGTGGTGCAATAAATGTTTGATATTTTGGTGTTTGTATATTTCCTTGATTTCCAACAGGTTGTACATCAACTAAAGATGATGATGTTGTTGATGATAATGTTGCTGATTTTTCTTCAAATTGTCGAAATCTTTTCATAAGTTCAATAAATGTTGGTCGTTGCTCACTAAGTTCTTCCCAACATGAACACATTACGGCATAAATTCGTTTTGGACAATTCGTTGGACATGTTAATAATTTTCTATCACGTATCATTTCAATAACTTCAGGATTTGTTCGTCCATAATATGGTTGAGTACCATATGAAAATATTTCCCATAGTAAAACACCAAATGACCAAATATCTGACATTTCAGAATATATACCTGATAATAAAGATTCAATTGCCATCCATCGTACAGGTAATGAACGATTAGCTATTTTATAATAATCTGTATCATATTTTGGACGATAACGTGCTATATTTGAAATTTTTATATCCATATGTTCTGATATAAGAATATTTTTCGCTGATAAATCATTATGAACAAAATTTTTTTCCGCTAAATAAATCATTCCTGATATAATTTGTATTGATATATAAAGAAAATCTGTTAAATCACGTTGTTGATACAATGATATTGTTGTTGAACGTTGTAATAAATATTCATGTAAATCACCATCATTTAAACGTTCATAGATCATTATTGAAATTGCATCTTGTGGTTGAATACAAATACCAAGTAGACAAGATATGTTGACATGACGTATATGACGAAAAACTTAAATATATGAAAAAAAAAATTATTTTTTAATTTATTTAAACAAAAAAAAAACATTCGGAAAAAGCCTTGTCGGATTTGGCGACTTATTTTGAATCAAAATATTATACATGCGATTTTGTAGAGCAATCTACAGCACATCAAGTAAATATGATAGCCATCGTCATTGTAATCCCTAGGATAAACTTAGACAAATTTTTCTTTTTAAAATCAATTTGATACAGTTAGGTTACTTTTTATCAACTTGATATTTCAGTGTGTTCAACTCTGATCTACAAAATAAATGAATACTAGCGTGAAACTTTTTTTTTACAAATTGTGCACTATCGACTTCTAAATATTTTACATACAACATATTTCGGAACAGCAGGGGCCCATTCTCAACTTGCACAATTGTTCCCTCGAAAGCTTATTTTCTTTTTGTATGAAGTGGTCGGTATACTGACGATTGTTTAACAATATCCAACGGTTCTATGAAACATTCCTATGCCTCAATAGTCAGTGCAGCATGACTGATAAACAAAAATAAATAAATTTATAAACTAAGGTATTTTGACCCCCGAGTTCCTCTCACGGAATCTGAAGGCCAAAACAAAAATTTTCTACTTATAAAGAAGTTATGTGTATTAGTTCATCAGCGATACTGCGCTAATTATTGAAGCATAAAAGTGTTTCATAGGACCGTTGGATATTGTTAAAAAATCGTCAGTATACCGACCACTTCATACAAAAAGAAAATAAGCTATTCTACGAAACAATTGTGCAAGTTGAAAATGATTCCCTGCTGTTCTGAAAGATGTTAAATGTAAAAAAAAATATAGAGCCCGATAACGTGCCATCTATCAGAAAATTTCTTACTCTGTCACACAGAGTTGAGTACACTGGAATATTAAATAGTCAAAAAATAATCTAGACCTAAGAAAAGAAATCAGTTTTAAGTATAAGGAAAATACTAATGAAAACTATTGATAATAGAAAATTGAAAAGTAATTATAACTGTATCGAATTGAATTTAAAAACCAAATTTGTATAAGCCTATCGAAGGATCCCAATGTCTATGAGTACCATAAATATTTCTCAAGGATTATAATCAGTATATGGATTCTCAGCACATCAAAATTTTCAAAAAACTTCATTTCTTGTATATCATTCAATGTGCCGTAAAATGCTCTAGAAAATCACGTATATGATATCTTCATCCAAGATAGGTCACAAAAGTCGGCAGTATTCTTTTCATTTCTTATTACTTTCTATTTCACGTGAATATTCGTCACGATTTTGTTGTGTTGCATATTCAACTTGTAAAGTTTTTATTATACATTTATTTGAATTATCAATTAATTCACCTTTGTATATTCGTCCATAATCACCTAAAAAATAGATTGAAATTGTGTTTTTAATTATAAAAAAAACACTATTTTGATTTTTACCTTCACCAAGTTCTTGTAAAAATCTTATATTTGTAAATGGTATTTCACACAATGAATTTTCTGATAATGAATGATGATGAATATTTGAATGTTTTGCTTCCGCTTTAAGTAATGTTTGTCGAAGATATGTATTTGTAAAATTTGTATTTGTTGATGATGATGATGATGGTATATGACGTGAATTTTGTTTATGAATATTTGTTGTTATTGATGCACGAAATGGTGATGATGTAACTGTATTAATAAGATGTGAAGATTTCTTAATTGGTGTTGATGAACATGTTGATAAATGACTATTATTATTTCGATGATGACAACACCAACAAAGAAGTAACATTAATAAAAATATAAGAACAAGCGGAATAAAAATGCTTAATAGAACTATAACAAGTGATATTGATGGTAATAATGATGGACGTCGTACTATTGAATGAGAATTTGATGGTAATGAGTCTAAATTAAATAAAAACATATTATTTATATACAGTACTATAAAAAAAATCACAATAATAAGCACATCAACTCAAATCTAAATAATGGTTTAAATAAACAATGATGCTCTCTATCAAATTCATTTCATGCGGAAATTTTATAGATGAACTATGAGAAGAAAATTTCTGAAAAATTAAAAACCGAGTTTTCGAGTTTAAGAAAACTGTTTGAAAATTAGGTTTTAAGAATATCAAATCCTGAATAAAATAAGGAATTACCGCACCTTCTACGACCTTAACTTGCAAAGTTATAAACATCACACAAAAAAATGCGTTTCTATGATAAATTATCGCTTTGTGATGCTTATAACTTTTTAAGGGAAGATTGTGGAAAGTGCAACAACCATTCGAAATTTCGTGCTCTTAAAAACTAATATTCATACAATTCTCTTGAATCTAGAAACTCCCAGGTTTGATTTTTCAAAAATCTTCTTCTCATAGTCCATCTATGAAATTTCCGTATCGAATGCATTTGATAGAGAACTTCATTGGCTATTCAAAGCACTAGTTGCATATGAGTTAAATACATAATATCGTTAAAAGCACGCACAAAGTACATTGGCTTTATTTTTTTTATTAAATAACAATAATGTTATCTATTAGCTTTTTCTCTATTTATTCGTATTATCCACAAGAAGACATATATATAGTTTGATGGAAAATACTTTATATAATTCGATAGTGTACATATTTATTATTAATATTATGTTACATTGAAACTCAAAACATTTCTCAATATGTTATGCTATTACATTCAAAACATTATAACATAATTTGAACTAATATCCACATTCAGCTTTATAGAATATCGTTTTAAAAAAAGTGTTAGTTTATTGAGATCTGAGAAGTATTTTTCATTGCATTATGATTTACATATCTAAATGACCTCTAAATTATTCTCACTATTAAACAAAAGTCCAACTCGAAAGATAAAACTACTTATAATTCAACACTTACCTCTTTATATTCATACTTAAACTTATCATAGAAATGAAGAACACTACAAGTATTATCATTTTCTTTTTCTCCTATCAGAGATTAATAAGCAAAATAATATGCATTGATATATAATGCTATTAAGTGAATAAATCGCAATCGAAATATTTAAAATTTACATTTCGATAATTTCTGTTCATTATAGAGATACGAATAATATTTTAGATGAATTTTCTTTTCTCTTATAATCATTTAGAAATTATTTGAAAATTTTTTTTTTTTACCATTTCGATGAATTGGTACTGTTTGATCAAGACTCATACATGATGAATCATCACTTGTAGGTGGTAAATTATCACATGTCGGCATATTTTGTAAAAGTTCAACTAAAGAAAAGAAACAAAAAAAAATAAATATTTTGTTTTTTTTTATTCGTCTCAAACTTACAATTTGAATATGTTTGTGGATGTTGAAAATTAAATAAATTTGGACAGGCATCATTTTGAAAATAATAGCATGAACGACGACATACTGAACGTGTATTTAAACGATCATTATCACATATTGGATATGTAAATAAACATATCATTGGTAATAATAATTTACGACATTCATTTGATAAAAGTTGATTATTAGTAAAAAATTTTAAATTTTCAATTAAAGTATCTTCAATAGTTTTCTGATTTCGATTTGCTGTTGATATATATTGAGAAGATATTATTGAACGACATATACTACCTGTATATAATTCACATTTTAATTTATTTGATGTTTCATCGTTATTCATAATAATTTCTGGTTGAAATTCAATAGATGGTAATCTAAAAATTTCATTTTTATTTTTAATTAGAAAAAAACGTGATTTAAGTTTTTCTCTTACAATTCATCATTTAAATCAATATGATCAATACCAACTATAACAAAAAAAAAATTATTTCAATAAAAAAGAACTTGTCAGCGTGGTTGTATGAGAAGTCAAAGTGTGATATTTGGGTTCGGTCAAGATTCGGGTGTATACTCTAGTCTGAAGTATGTAATTCGATATGTCGTCTTTCGATGATGCTCCTTCTTCCATTCAGTTGAATGACAGATGTATCTTTTTACACTGTCTTCCGTTGCAGAAATACTTCCTTCGCATTATCTTTTCTGATATCTAGAGAGCAAAATCCAATCTCAATGTTAAAAGTCAACATATTGTGTCACTGACGTACAAACACTATCGTATATGACAACAGAACCTTGAATTATATTTACTTTGAAGATATCTATTATTATGAAAAGACAATTTAGAAAATCAACACGATGATAAATCGAAATAGATCAAATCCTAGTTGTTCAGTATAGGCTCAGGCTTGGTGCAAGCCCAGAATTTCTATTCTACCAATTTATTAGATTCATTTAACATCATTATGCTGAAAAAATTATTTATATTGTAAGACACATTTTCAGTACGTAACTTATTTTCTTCTAGTGATTATATATACGATAAATGCAATAGGAAGCGGTAAATATCATTTTATGCTTCGTTTCGTTGGTTCAATCACTATATTAGTCTGTTATAAACATTGATTTAATCGGTCAGTAAGCTTCCGAGCACATCATCCTTTCTCTTAACGAACTTTGACCTATATTGAATCTTGCCTAAAGTTCAAATCATTTTGGGATTCTTAGAATGCTTCGGAAGACTTTAGAAAGCTTCCGAATGACCTAAGCATTGTTATTAATGATGCGCTTTTTCTCGTCGTCAGGAAAATGTACCCAATGATCGTTGACTTTTCTCCTTGCACTACTAATTCCTAATTACGCTCACTATTATAAATGTGAGTTCAACAAAAAGTAGAAGAATGTTGTTTTTTTAATTACCTGGATTTTTAACTCGAACAAAACCAGTTGATATTAATGTTTGAAAACCATTCGATACTTCACATGTATAAAAACCTGCTTCGGATTCTTTTAAATTATTTAAATTTATACTATAAGAAAAAACAAAGACAACAAATACATATTTTCTATTATCTTTTTGGAATTTTTCTTTTTTCAATTACCTCGATCGGAATGTCGTTTGATCAATTGAATAGCGTCTTTTATCAAGCGGATTATTATATCGATACCAATTAAATGATACTGGATATGATGATTGAACTTGACATTCCAAAATAACTCTACTACCACCATTTTCTGTTATATTTTTTAATGTTTTTATCCATTGCATATTTGTTGATGTCAATAAATCTGATTGTCCAGTACTTAAGAAAAAAAATATACGTATATATAAGATCGATAATCTAATTGCTTTAAGGGAAAAGAATGAAATTGATAAATATATTTAAATATCATTAGATGAAACGCTTTCTTTTTCGTCAAGCTAAATTCGATAAAGATCTTTTATCCATCAATCTTAGTTTATCAATTTATATATGCGCTTCTTTGCTCTATTGATTAGGCAAGAAACCCTTGAGCATTTTCTTTTTACGTGATTGAACCAGCATTATGTTGTTTCCTTGTACTTATACGACAAGAACACGCACGAGACAATTTATATTCTTGACTGACGGATGTATGCAAACGCAATATTGCTCTCGTTTATCCGCTTGTCAGGCTTCTTATTCATATCGTCTCCTCCAAAGATCAACAATATACATATATATATATAGATTGTATGTAATACCTTAAGATTACTGGAGCTGGTTGATTGACAATTGTGTTTGCTACATGTGTTTGACGTTGATTATTGTTGTCGTTATTGATTGGTGACAGATCACAGAACGACAAAAATCCAATGAAGAGGAAAAGAACACAAGGAAAGCCTAAAGAAAATATATGCATATATTAGATAGGTGATAACTTTGTGTTATTTTTCCTGGATCATTGTTTTACAACATAGGATGAGAAAAAAAAAAGTCAATGTATAGTGTGTAGAAAAGGAAGCTGCAAATATTCACTTGGCACCCATGATTATAATGCCACACGCGAAATCAATCTGTTGTCTAAACATTGCGCTTGATCAACACATGTAAACATTCATATATGTTCTACACTCTTCCTCTCTAATACGCTACTAGTTCTTTTCTTTTACAAGTGTTTGGTAAGCAGCGGGGTATGCCTTGAGTAAATAGCATGATACGAGTATGTCAAGAGTTTCGTAGCTCTTGATATGAGAGGCAAACAAAAAAATCATTAACGTTTTTCGATAGTTAAAGTAATAAGTGTGATACATACAAACATACATATTGAATAAGTACTCTCTTATGTTTAATAGTAATAATAAAAATTTGTTAATCAGAATGTTAGCAATAACTATTGAATAAGAAATAGGACTTCTTAAATAATCCATTCAGTTTCTTCTTTTTTTTCTCTTACCCGACATTAGATATCCGTCCTTCGAATTGATAAGAAATAGGAGTAGAAAGTCAAACGATGTGCATATCTTATAGAGAAGTATAATAATGATCAACTCGGTTCTTCTCTCTCGTTTTTTTTTGCTCGCATCAGATGAAGACATGAAAATGTCAAGGTTTTTGTTTATATATATTTATATATATTTCTGTATGTTTCCTAATTGTTAAACGACTTACCAGATATATTCATGGACATTAGTGTTGAGCTGTTGTGACAATAATAGAAAACAAAATGAAATTTTTACTTTACTATAACTAAATGATTATCAGCTGGAACAATAATTAACACATTGAATAATTCTCATCTATCTAAAAGAATATAAAGCTTTTCTTTTAATAGAAATCTAAATCATTAGTGTTTCTTTTACACATAACGAAAGTATATGCAATCCATGATGTGACACATATAACTCTGCAAGATGCCGCACACACACACACACACACACAAGAGAGAGAAATGCGAATGTGTGCATTAGCATCATTGCTCGTTGCCTATATGAGTTGTTCTCTCGTTCTCTCCGATTCTCCCTCTGTCTCTCTCTCTCTCTCTTTTCTCTCTATGTACAATTACTATATGTAAGGTCATCTTGTCAAACTGGCATGAAACAAAAGAAAAAGAAGGGACTATTTCAATTCATCGAATAGTCTAGTGTTTTTATAAGCTTTCTATTGTTCACACAAATGAATTAATAAATTATTCGATTTTTTTTTATTTCAACAAAAGTTAATCTTTTTCAATAAAATTTTGAATTATGCGAATACATAAATCGTTCTCAAGAGGAAAAAGTGAAGTCATTAATAAAAATAATTTTATGATTATTTGACATAAAAAAAAAAATTGAACGGAATAAATGTGTATATGTTCATAATTGTTAGTTAGTTTTTCTAATTGTCTGATCGTGATAGACACACATGTATACGTTCGATATGTGTAGAATACTGACGCCGGTTCACTTCTTTTTCTCTTATCTTTTACTAACATTTACACACACACACACACATACACACGTCTTCAATACTATGTTTATTATGGGAACATTATTAACACTTATCAAACTCAAACTACTATAGCGGTAAAATTTTGAGCAGTTGTCATATATTGAACATGACTGTGAGAATAATAAACTGTCTTCTATCTCAAGCGGCTCCATAGAAGTTACAAAAGAAAATAAATTGTACTTGAAAGAATAATGTATAAAAAGCAAAAAAAAAGGAATTAATTTATACCAATTCTATGTGTTTTTTCTAGGGACCTTCCTTTTCTATAGTATATCTGAATCGTAAGTAGAAGAAGGGTAGACGAGTTTGATCTAAGCCAGACGGTCAACTTAAACTTGTCAAACGTTCAGTGACTCTTACAATTGCCATATGAATATGTGCATAAAGAAAAAAAAAAGGTAATTCATTCTCATAGGACAGAACAAGTGTGCACATGTTGTTGATTTATTGTATTTTAACTCATCATATACATATAATAGTATGTCGTATTATAATTTATTTTCAACTACTACTATTACTATCGTTACCTCCTACCTGTAGATGTGATTTGATATCGTTTATATAGACAAAAAAAAACAGAAGACGAAAACAAAAGAGAAAAATAAGCTCATTTAAAAATAACAAGAGAATTATAGTGAATTAAACGAATGTGTTATGTAGCATCTGGTCATCGCTATCGATCGATTTCAATAATCGATTTTGTCTGCATCGTTCAAAACGATTGCATGATATGATATATATATATATGAATATACATCTATATATATATATCAAATGGTACGACCTACACACCCTTGTATAGTGTCTCTAGATGATGATATGGTGTTGGTAGTGGTATCAAGTCATACTTTTCTCTCTCTCTATTGTCTTTCTTTATATATGTACGTGTGTGTATTATTATTGTTAGACGCATAGACTATTCAATGATGCTCGAAGCATTTTTTTTTCTTCTTTTCGTTGTCTTGATTGAAATGAAAAAGCTGTGAGAATCAGCTTTCTCTCTTTCTATGTATATAAATATATCCATAATCCATTTTCACACACGTATTATCATATAAAAAATTTGTCATCAGCTTTAAAAAAAATAACAACAATATTATTAATTTTTCTTTTCAATAACAATTCATTTCTCACATCGATATACTCTTACTAAATGAAATACTGATGAGTCGAATCATTATTATGTAAGCAATGATAACATGTTGATTTTTATCATGTATACTCGAACAAAAAAATTATATTTATCTGGATGTATTGAACCATTTATATATGTTATGTCTCTGGAGATAGGAATGGAAGGAATGAGAAAATGTTGCTTAAATAAACGTTCTATTCAATTCATATTTTGTTTGTCTTCTGTCTATATTCATTGTTAGTCCATTTATATATCGATAGATAATATGCAAGACAAAACTTGTTCAATCATAGGGTGTGTCAGCAATCATCTTCGTCATTATGATTTGATCATCACACTATCGCCGCGATGTGGCTTGTCAGTAAGATGTTATTAAAATGTTCAAATCAAACAACTCATCAATCGTACTGGTCAATCTATGTCTTTCTTTTCTTTTGTTTTTCTTTTTTAATGTTAGTTTATTCTTGACAGGTGACCATTTTTCTTTATCGATGAACCTATTTTAACATATACGGTTAAAAAACAATTCTCTTTTTTTTTTTGTTCGTTTTTTCATGCTTATTTTATCTGAGTAAAAAAAAAATTGTATGAAAAAAAAAAGCGTTTTCTTCTTGTTTGCCCTCGAGGTTTAAATATTAGTCTTATCGTCGTTCGAAATAAGGCAACAGATGGTTAGCTCGCGAAAGTGATGATGATGATGATGACTGAGTCTCTTCGCAACAGACGACCGACAAGTTAAGTACTCATGTCTCTTTATTTCTTGTCATTTCGATAGACAGCTACATAAAGACCATCTTCAACTGATGCATGCTCATGAACATTGAACGTTCACTAATTAAATCATTTAATAAAATTTTTAAAATCGTTATTGCTTAACAATTATTATCACCACTCTGATCCTTTTAAACTTTCTCCAGTGTTTTGACAGATGATGACGTCTATAAGATCATATGGATAGATGAATTCGTTGCTCATTTACCACCTGCTGAGCAACGATAGTCCAGACATGAATAAAGAAAAGTACACACTAATCAGAATATTCTAGTCAATATGATTATATGATAATTTCCAAATGCATTTCATCGATAATCCTCAAGGAACAAAAAAAAAAACAGAAAATTTCCGACAATGTTTTATTGAACAAAAAGATTATTTCGGATATAAATATACAAGAAAAAAATTCAGAAGACATTCTTCACAATCTTTTTGCGATATTATTTGTTGTCGCTTTCTTCTTGATGTATAAATTTGAGAAATTATACAAGCAAGGAAGGAAAAAAAGAAAGAAAGAAAGTAATCAATGTGTCGATCGATCGAAGCTAAAAGTCATTGAGTATTTTTTTTTTCTTTGTGGTACAATATAAACAATTCATTGTCTATTTATTATTTTTTCTTATGATGTCTGATGAAGCGACTTTACTCGAAGCTTTATCATCATCAGATTTCAAAACATCGATTCATGACAAGAAACGAACAGATGCAGAAGAAACTAAAGCTGCTATTGAAAATAAACAACAATTTGGTAAAATAAAAAATTCAGAAGTATCCGAAAAAATAAATGATAATAATGAATCATTTTTATCTTTAGTAAAACATTTGTCAACCGAACTACGTAAGAAAATAATTGAATCACTTAAACAAATGATCTACATGATCCATTAATCAAAGAAAAACTTGTTCAAAATGATTTTACTATAGAAAAAGTTATTCGAGACAATGTTTAAAATTGTTTTATTTTCTATTTTTGGAATATTTTATAATAATAACAAACCAGCATAGATCATTATTAAGTTTTGTATTTGTTAAGATCTAATAAAAGATTGTATATTTCATCGTCGAATTCTTTTCAATCATCTATCCTCGTGACTTTCGTTTCGACGATCATTTTGTACGTTGATTCTTTCTAAATATTTATAATATATATATAATGCAGATATCATCTCAGAATATTATCGATAGCTTCGGTTATCAAGATGGTAGATCGTCGAAATGGAAATTACTGTTTTTTGATATAGAGTATACTGACTCAATGAAATACTTTCGAAAAAACTAAAATCATATAATAACTTTATTAAAAAATATATATGATACATGAAAAAATTCATCAAATCATATAATCTTCTAAGAATAATGAATTAATACGATGAAATACTATGTAACCAATGCTTACGGCCATACCACGTTGAATACACCAGTTCTCGTCCGATCACTGAAGTTAAGCAACGTCGGGCTCGGTTAGTACTTGGATGGGTGACCGCCTGGGAATACCGAGTGTCGTAAGCTTTTTACTCTTTTTGTACTGCTATGGTTACTTAAAATTTGAATTAGCATTTTTTTTTTCGAACGTTTTATCTACAATACATTATTAACTAGTCCATTTAGTAATCAAGATTTAATAAGCATATGATGTCTGTTTTTAAAGTCAATATTATTGATTCAATATTTGAATAAATTATATTTTATTTGTTTTATTCAAATTGATCGTGTTATTGAAACAATACAATATGTATGACTTCTACTTTGTCATGAAAAATTTAATGTAGTAAATTACGTCAATCAACTAATAAATTAATTTATTTTATGAGATTTCGTTTGATTTTAATAGTATCAAATCTCAAATATTGATCAGATTTTCTTAAGTTCATCATCAATTCTAACTGTTGAATATTTCAAGTTCATAAACAATAATTTGAGCAAGATCTCCTAATACTAAATCATATTCTAGGATTCGTATCATTCGACTAAAAAAACAAAAATACAAGAATCTGTGTAAGACTATATAAAAAGATATCAGAATTATCTCGACATGTTCGATTTGAACAACATGTGATGTAAAAAAAAAAAAGATTCATTTCGATTAATATATGAATTCGTTATTCATATTCATATAGATGCATTGGTGCAAGATATTATTTAAAAATAATCCATCAGAATTATATTCAAATAGATCTTATAAATCATCATAACAAGGAAATTTCTCAAATACATATTTGATCAATTGGTATTTTTTCAAATATGTGCATATTGTTTATTTTTATCTGAATATTATCAGTATGTAAACGAAGTAAACTATATTGATAGATTATTGAACACGTTTCTGAATATAAATGAATTAATGATAAATACATTGAAATTACTTTTCGTTCTAGTTCAATAAAAAGCACTTAAATCATTAAGTAGAAAATTTTCATCACTAATTATAGTTAATGGAAGAATGATTGAATTGTTTTACGTGTGATTAGTTGAACTCACTGAATCACAAAATAATAAAAAATGCATTTGATGAAAAACAAGAATGATCTGTACAATAAGAATTACATATTGAAGTTGTTAAATATACGAAAGAAAAAAACGATATAAAATCTTAAGTGACTCGATGAAGTAAAAAAGAAATGACGTGCATACACTTTTATCATAACATAAAAAAGCTCAATGAAGTTTGTAAGACTTATCGTTCAGCGTTAATTATAGTTTTACGAACTTAGAAGTTCCGAATTTATTTTCTTCTACACTTATGCGTAATACGTAATAATTAATAAAGAACAGTAAACTATATAGATATCATCGACTGCCTATAGAAAATATGTGGCTTATTCAGTTTGTCATGAAATATTTTCTGTTACTTTTATATAACAACATTATTAAAGCATATCTGATATGGATTTTTGTGAGTTTTGACTATTGAAAAGTAGTATGTAAAAATTATTATTTGCATTATTTATCATTTATTTTTATCTTGTGACTACTTTTTCTCAACTTATAATTATCATTACTATAGGTACTTGATAGTTTTCACTGTCTTCAAATGAATGACGTCTAGCACGCACTTGTAAATGTAATGAAACTCATTTACATTGTTCATATTTTACCAGTACGAAGTTTTATGTGATGTACAACTAATTCATTAGGTTTATACATGTGTTCATCATCCACAAAATGAATATATAGTGAGTGTTTCAAGAAAGCTTTGTTCGACATCAGCACTTCAAATAACATCAGCTTCATCAACTATGTCATTATTTGTTTAATGTAATAGGTAGTGAATTCATTAGAGTTGAAAAGCAATTATCCATTGAATCTATTTTATTTATAAATTATATTTGATTCAATTCATATATGTATATCTAGAAATTAAGAGAAAAAGTAAGACTGCAGGTAATGGAAGCATATGATTCTTACAGACAGGTTTATAAGTATCACAGAAAATAGAAAATAAAAAAAAAACAAATGAGCATATTTATGCTCATTCTTATTAATTAATTCACTTGATAGTTCAATTGATACTTTCTTTTTAAGAGTTATTATTTAGTATCAACATTTCGACAATGATTAAATAAATTGTATTTCAATAAATTAAAATGTTACATTCTTCATTTTCACATGTGCAGCTTATGTCTTCAAACGAATATGAAAAGTTGTTAAATAACATACTTCGTAAATTTTTCTAATCTTTGTTTATCTTAGTTTTTTTCCATTGAATTAAAATCTTAAGAGAGAATATGAGATCATGTCAATACACGAGACACTTGAAACAACAATTGTTTTTGTATTCGACGCATCAATGTCTTTCGACATATCATTATGTACAACATGAGAATGATTATTATTTTAAAAAAATCAATTCCTAGTATTCTTTTTATTTTTCTTGAAAAAGAAAACAAATATTGCATCATTTCGTACAGCTGATTATAAGTAAACAGTATCTGTTTGGACTTATGTTTCAACAGGAAAGTATTAATGCATGTTATGTGCTATTCTTGATACAATATCGGCATTCTACGGGTTATCTAATAAAACTCACATGATTGTTTTTAATTTCTACGCCTAGTATTCTTTATTGCATGAGATTAAAAGTGATAGTTTTTAAAAATAGCATAAACCAATTGTGTTCATAAATTGTACATTATAGAAAAAACAAATTCTTTTATTTAACAGTCAAAAGAATATTTTTTCAGAGCTTTTTTCTTATAAAGTATTGTGCGATATATTTTTATCAACTTCTTAAAAGACCATACATTATTTTTTAGTTAATATGTAAGGTGCCGGAAATGCAAAATTTCCACAAATGTTTTTTTTCACGATATTCATGCATAGTTGGATAGAGCGGATTAAATTACCTAGAGAAGAGTCGTTTTTTCCCTTTCATAATGATTTTTCGACGGACGAAAATTTTAAAAAGAGCCATTTTTACTGTTTCTAAGAGATAAACCAGCCTTTTCCATTGTTTTTCTTCTTTCAAATACGTAAAAGTGTTGTTTTCTTATTCAACACATGAAACTGACTATAGAAATATATGTCTGGTTTTATTCAAGTATAATGGTATTAAAATTTTTTTGGACCCTAGTGATACTTAGGACATGCTCCTGGGTTACCTTGCAAGCGAATCAACTTTTCTAAGTATATACAGACAAAGTCACTCTTTTTATTCCATTATAACTGTAATAGGTACTAGAAAAAAGTTTACGCCTCCTTTTCTTTTAATTTTGCTTTGTTCTTGAGAAAATCTATTTTCTTGAAATCAGTGGCAAAACGATATAAAATACGCTAATATCTGTAGGTTTTGGCAATCAATATTCGGTTTTCAAGAAAAATTAATGCGATATTCGGAATCAGCATAAAAATTTGATACAATTCACAAAAATCATACGAAAAAACAATTTCCATCGAGATTAGAGCCCTACTCTCCGTCAGCTTATTTTTCAGTGGTTTTGCCACTGATTTCAAAAAAATAGATTTTCTCAAGAACGAACCAAAATTAAAAGAAAAGGATGCGTAAACTTTTTTCTAGTACCTATTATAGTTATAATGGAATAAAACGAGTGACTTTATCTTTATACTTAGAAAAGTTGATTCGTTTTCAAGGTAACCCAGGAGCATGCCCTAGGTATCACTAAGATCCAAAAAACTTTTATTACCATTATACTTGAATAACATCAGGCGTATGTTTCTATAGTCAGTTTCATGTGCTGAGTGAGAAAACAACACTTTTACATATTTGAAAGAAGAAAAAGAATCGAAAAGGCTGGTTTATCTCTTAGAAACAGTAAAAATGGCTCTTTTTACAAATTTTCGTCCATCGAAAAATTACTCTTTTCTAGATAGTTCGATCCGCTCTATCCAACCATGCGTGAATATCGTGAAAAAAAATTTGTGAAAATTTTGCATTTCTGGGACCTTAGTTGTCCTTAATTTGAAATAGAAATGTTTTCTTTTATAGTGTTATTTAATCGTCCTTGTGTTTTTCTGTCACACTTTCTATATCTCCATAAAAGGTTGAAAATACTGAAAAACATAACATGATAACTGTTTGTTAGCGAAAAATATAATCTGTAAAACGGGTTTCCAGATTCCTACGGCTAGGATATTAGTACAGATAGCTATCAAGCAGTTTTATGATCAGATAAATAGGAATTTCGACATGTCAACTAGAAGAATTACGAATGTCTAAATTGATGTTTAAATTCAAGTTCATTACTTATGCATATGAACTTTTAATAAACTCTTACTGAAGACAAGTACACTTTCACTCACGATCTGAGTGATAAATACTGATATAATAATGTCAATATTACCAGTGACGTATAAAATATGTATTTGTAATATGAAGTTATTATCATCTTATATGTGAAATTCATCGATCGTAATCGTTCAAGTAATCTGAC